GTATCTGTCACAATCTGACACCTGTCAATTAGAGAGCACGTAAGAAAAAAAAGCGCATGTACACATTTGGAAAACAACAAAACTAGTTTGGCAAGAACTATCACGACAATGTTTTCTTCAAAAATAGTCAATAATCTAACGGAAAGTATTATTCACTCTCATCGACGATTAATTAATATTTTATATTTTGAAGTTGTGAGAGTTTGCTGGTTTGTTTGCTGCAATGGCGTGTGTAAACCTGTTCTTTCCTCCACTAAAAGTAAATTTGAATGATAAACTCTGACGAGACACAAGGAGACTTAATGCGGCCTTGTTTCATTGAATTCCTTCTGTTAAGAAGAAAGTACCGGACTGGCGTGTCGTGCGATTAGCGCGCGCGCGCTGAGACATTTAAATTAGACCAGTTCGTATGCATGTTACGCGTACGATTTCTCGCGTGGTTTTTTTTTCTTTTTCAGTTTTAGTCGCATTTTGGAGGTTTTTGTTTTTGAGTATGTATTTACATAATCGGTTATGAATCACTTTATACTGAAACATTATTATTTTAACTTCGTTTGTTACTTTAAATGACATAAGATAAACGTTCTTGATGGTAGTTTTTGTAAATCCGTGGCGTAGAATTTTGGTTTCGGCAGTGGGAGGAACAAAGACGGTGTTTAAAAGAGAAGAGTAAATAGAACTGGTTCTTAGGCTGTTTACAGTAGTGTTCGCGTGTGACGTTTGGAATAGGGTTTGTAAGAATAGCTTTCCAGTCTTTTGGGATTGCGTTGACCAAGCCATAGTATGTGGTGAAAGGCACATTTAAATTACCTCACACTTTACACAGTCCAACTTCTCACATTTTCCTGATGTGAAAGGATGAGACCTTGCGCGTTTACTCCAAATATACACACGAGGATTCAGTAATCGCTTCTCGAGACGCAACAGAAAAGACTGAGCGCACTTAACCTTGTATTGCTATAGTGTAAATGAATGTTACTGTATCTATTTTCTCTCGTAAGCTAAAGTAACGGGATAACATGATTGTAGCTTGGAAAGTACGAGGGCTGATGACCTAAATAAAGTCAGCAAGCTGAAGTATCTGCATTGTGTCTTTGTTGTGCTGTAGTCTACCTCTCATAAATTGTATAACCTCATCTTGTACAATGTAAATATTATTATTTTAGTATATAGAGTAAGCTCCTTATTGATTTAAAATTCGTGATGCAAGTAGGGTAAGCATCATATAATTTGTATTGTAAGCTAGTTTAAGAGAAAAATTTTTGTAAGTAGTCATAAACGTGAGTATTGATAAGTATAAATAGGAACAGGGGTAGTGTTGTAAGTATGCATTGTTTGTATGGTAACTACTGTAAGTGTTTTTACTTAGTGTTAGTATTGCTATGTTGGATGTAAGTTAAAAGTCAATCGAGACAAATTCAGAAAAAAACTCGTTTACGTTAAAGAACGAAGTTTCAGAGTTAGAAATTTGATATGCGCCCTTACACTCCACAATTTTTTTGCTCCGGCCTGGGGCAGGACAGGACAGCCCCGCAGGACAGCCCCTGGGGCTTTCCGGCGTAATATTACCGAAGCTGAGGAAGACCAAGTCACGGAAGAGATCCTATTTGATCCTGTTTGACAGTGACGTGCCAGAGTCCAATCAATATGGGTACTGATTCATTAATTATTTATACCCAAGACTGAATAAAGCTTTATGGTTTCATATTGAGTTTTGAAAACCAAGGCCAGAACATTCATTTGCAACTGCCTTATTTTGGCTTTTTTGGTTCATTTTTGATGGCACTTAAGGGTGAAATGAAATAATGTTATTGCACGTCAGTCAGGTCTTAGACTTGTGCGCTGGATGCCTCTCAGTTTTGATGTAAATACATGCAATTTCTTGTCAATTTTTTTTGCAGGAGTTTGAACGGCAGATGGCAATGATATCATCTTTATAGATACAGACAGACTTCCGAAGAAAGATCACTTTAAAAATAGGGAGGAATTCAAACAGGCCGTGAGAGAATTGACCTCGTAAGTATCAAAATCATATAAACTCAGTCCTAAGTGCAAAAAGAATGTATAATTATAATTAACAATCACTGAATTCGATTTTCTCATGCTATCATGAATTATCAAACCTCGTGTCTCATTAGCCTCTTTCCAATCAGGCCCTACGTTTCTTTCTTTCTTTTTTTTTCTTTGATAGGTCCTAAAGGATGTTGCAACATGTAATCCGTTTATACAACGGTTACCAACGATAGAATGTCTTTTGCTTTTTGTAAATACCTTGAAGCATTTATCCTCACTAGCGTGGACTCGCATAATTTTTTTTGTCGTTCATGACGGAAGCAGTGAAAAATGCGCTATCAATGATGGGCTCGGAAAAGAGATATACAAGAAATTGAAGAATATTCTTTAGTTTTTTGTATATTTTTTTAATGGGCAATCTCAATGATTCTGGATAAGCAGACAAATGTGATATACACTCCTTCTCGTCAGTATTCTGTTGTCTCACTCATGAGCCAGTGAGTAGTCAATACTCGAAGAGAAATTCCATATCTATGAACGCCTATGTACTATTTTCCTTTTTAGGTTCCTGGATCGCTCTTCTTTTCCTCCGCCCATTTCTTAAGTGTATGTGAGTATTCGTTGTATCCGTTTTGGTAAAAATTTAGATAAAGAAGAATTAGACCAGCAAATAACACAATTATCTCATACGCAAAGTTATTCAGAGACGATTCAGTACAATTAGTAATTGTAGTAGGACTGAGTGGGATCCAATTCGGTCTGTAATCATACGAGTGATAACAAAATCGGACGACAGTGACGAGCATGATTACTTACCACCGAATTGGACGACACGAAGTCGTCCAATTATAAGTCGTACAATTTCCGAGAAAACCAAGTTATGAAAGAAATGAAAAATTGAATTAAAAGACTGATTGTCGCTCTTGATTTAAACTACAACTTAAATTTGAATCTTAATCTTAAATTTGTTTGATGTTTTTGCAGTAGAGAAATGAAGCAAAGGATTGTTATGACAAAGTCCAAAAAGTACCTTAATGATATCCAAGGTGAGACTTTTAGAACAGGATAGTAATCAATGTATAGATATCTAAAATACATGCTGGAATGAAGGGGGGGGGATAATTACAACAAAGAACAAATCGCAGGTTGTTAAACCGTGGTCAATCAAATAATTTATGGCTAATTAAAACTTTTACAGCAAAAAATGCCACAGATATATTTGAATGAAAACGTACTTAGGAGGCTGAACTTTCTCTACTCTTCATTTTTTCTTCTACCATTTGTTTCCTGGTATGTCAGATTTTGTCACCAAACATCTCTAACTTTTAAATTCATTATATTCTTTTCCTTTTTTTATTGCTTTTATAACTATATATTAATTTACCGATATACAGCAAATTATTTTTGACATTCTGAAACCTATTTTCTATTTTCGAAAGTTTTATGTTTTATTCGTGTAACTAAACCAGGGACATTTTGAGTTCACAGCCAATTATCTTTAGTATATTCGGTTGTTTATCCAAAGCTTTGATGAACAACTTAAGTTGAGTATTTCACAAATTATTCAACAGAAATAAGTTTTCTATGTTAAACATAGTACGATGAACAAACTTTCTGAATGTTAATTATATTATTTAATTAGTTATTTCAGGACAGCTCTGTTGCTGCACATAGGCTTGTAATTTTTTGAGTTTAGTTGTAAAGTTGGAGCTCAGTATGTGCTGAAACAGATTTGAGACTGCTTCGTTACTTTGAAGTCATTTTTATTATTTTTTTATCAGACACAGTTAGTTTAAACATGCATCAACTCGAAATGTACGTGAATTTATTTCATATGAAAGCTTGTTGTTTCAAGACGAGCTGCAGAGATGATATTTGGCTAATATAGAGAAGGATTTTTGCACTTTTTCATAAGTCAAAACGCCAATGTTTTCATCATATCTTATTAAATAATATCAATTCTTTTAACAAAGCACTATTTCTGTACATAAGCTTTTACGTTTATTAGCCAAGCTGCAAAGATGACATCCAGAACGTTTCTCGCTTTTCCATAATTTGATCATCAATTTCAAAAAATATTTGGTTGCTTCAGTGACGTGACCTCATTTGATCCGGGCTCTAACCGCCAACATACTGAAAATTCCAGCAGCGACTTTTTCTCCTATGAAGTATTGTTCGTTGACCTCCTACGAGCTAAAATGAGGACTTAAAGCGAACAGAAGCCTGTACGCTGTCATATTGTGACACCATGCTTCAAATTAACAACCCATTGCACTTACCTTGAGTTGCAAATTTGAAACAGGTAACCCACAAAAAATTGAAATAATCCTAAAGCAATATAAACAAAGAAATGACCAAAATTCTAAATAAAAAAAGCTCAGAAACAAACGAACAACAACAACAACAAAAAACCAAAGAACAAGAAAGCAAAAAGAAAAAAGCCTTGTGCTCAGGGCACAAGTAAATTAAAAGCAAAATACATTGAAAGATTAAAAAAAATAATGGCTGAAGAAACAACAGAAAAAATTAACACGGCAAAGAAACAAAAGAATTATGAAAATCCAATAAAAAAACAATGGTAAAATTTAAAACAAATATATGAGACAACAAAGAGACCAAATTACACACAAAAAATCAAATCAAATCTAAAAACCGTAAAAAAATCAAATCTGTTAAAAAAACAAAACAAAACAAGCAAACAAAATAAAACACATTGGACAGAAAAAAGCAAACTCGGAGGAAACAACAGAACAACACAATCAAACGATTGAGAAAGAAATGGCTAAAAAGTAGGAAATAAGTCATTGCGGCAACATTAAGGACAGACAGGATTGGAAAGTCAAGTACTGAAGCATGAAAGATCGTCGAGTTAATCATAGTGAACGGGTAGGGAGAGATGGATGTCATCTTTGCAGCTTTTTCAACCTGTTCTGCGAATTCGTTGAATAATTTTTTTCTTACCTAAGTAAAATGTAACAAATGTTTGTATATCTACTGAAAACCTTGCAAATATTAATGCTAAGCCTTATTTAATAAGATGTAAATAGTACTAAGTCTATATTAAGTCTTTCCTTTAAGCTTCTTACGAGTTTTTGCCTAGTTTGGCCCCAAGTCGTTCATGCGTTTTGCGTTTCCTTATGCGTCGATCAAATCGAAGCTTCAACGTCCTCCCTCGGGCAAACCCACGGTATCTGAACTTTTAAAGACTGGTTTGTTTTGCTGGAAAGACTTAACACTTCTGGTTCAAAATCCCCGCCCCAGCCAAGCAAGGTTCAAATTGCCCAACCCTGGGCACGGGCGACGGTCAAATGCCAGTGGGTTGCTGGGGGGATGTTGAAGCTTCGAATTGATCTACACTTTGCAGAGAAACATGCATGCCAAATCACGACTCGTAAAGGAGCCCTTCGCTCTTGAGTATTCCCTTGAGTTTCTCCACAGCATTCTGCTCAGCATCGTACCTGACATGATAACCACGTTCCTCACAGCTGATACCACTCTCTATGTCACGGGCTTCGGCGTCGTAAACCCAAGGTTTTCTTAAAGAGTGAAACCTTGCGTGGGAGTTGTAGTAAATTCCTCGTCCTTTAAATGTGAGCTTAGGATGAAAGAAGTAAATTTAAATTTTAAAAAAATTAATTAAAAAACAATCCCTAAAGTAAAAATCAAACAACGAGGCTCAGATTGTATGCGACTGGTATAAAAATAATTCCCTGCCGGCAAACAAAGACAAATTCCAGACACTGTGTCTAGCCTCAAAAGCAAGGAATACACAAGAGGCGCAGATTTTCATTAACAATGAAGAAATTGAATTGGAGTTCCTTAACACTATCAGTAGGAGTCCTTATAGATAATAAACTTAGCTTTGGTGCACACATTAAACAAGTCTGTCAGAAAGCAAATTGCAAAATTGTTGTCCTCTCGAGAATGAAGCACCTAGTTCCCGAAAAGACGAAGTTACATCTGTTTAAAGCGGTAATTCTCCCGAAGCTAAACTATTCTTTAGAGCATCTGTTCAGCGGAAACTGGAGAGGATACAGGAAAAGGGACGGAGAGCGGAGTTTTCAAGGAAAGAGTATCAACATACGAAAATCTATCAAAGAAAGCAGGATTACCAACATTGCGTAATAGAAGATTGCAAGACCTAATGGTGTAAATGTTCAACGTCAAAAATGGACTATCTCAAAAGTACATCTCTGAATTATTCCAAATAATAGAAACTAATTACAATTTACGTACATCAGACTTTGTTATACCGAGATATAATACATGTCTAAACTATGGAAAACTTTCAATAAGATATGGATATGGCTGATAAGACGCTTCAGCGACGGATATGCACGTACCTGGCCACTATGCAGATCGGCATATCCAGTCAATATCCCCAGAATAGAATTCAAGCTCCCATGGTTTTCTCTGTCCACTCGATTTCCAAAAGGAGCTTGATCTGGTACGAAAAATGTATTAACCATCAGGAAGAGAGCATGGCTGGAAACTATGAACACTCCTGTAAACATTCATAAGCTGTAGCGCTTTATGACCGATGGAACAAGCCCCTGGGTGTGATACAGACCGTGGGCACCACCCCCTTCCGTCTTACGATAAAAACCTATACGAAATCCCCAACATTTAAATTTTATTTTAGTTATTATCATTTTCTCCACGTGAAACTGTTCTTTCACGGCCCAGCTAAAAGTCTCCTATCACTCAAAGGAAAAAAATCTGAAATATTTATCTGATGGTCGACTCCTTAACTGAGCATTTCTTCTTTTGTGTCCTTCAGTGAAAGAACTATTTCACTTAAATCCCCAATGGTTGTAAATATTAATGTTGCATCCTCATTTTTATCATTACAGAAAAGCATCACATTTGTCATTCATATCCAAAAAGTATGGGGTAAGGGTGGGGCTGTTATGTCATTTCACCTACAACTGAGTGCTAGTCCGTCAAAAGTATTAGTCGGGAAGGTCAAAGGGCGGGCCTGACTCCTTTTTGTAGCAATGAAAAACTCCTCTCTTACCGAACATATTAAAAAATGATAGGCTTTCAACCTTTTCATCCATGATAATTTACAAATTACTTATGTATCTTACCTTCATCTTTTGACTTCAGGACTTCAAGATTTTTCGTAATTACGTCCAGCTGATCTTTAATGTTGTTCTCGTCCTTTTTCCATTGACTCAGTAATTCCATGAAGTGATCTTCAACTTCAGGGTCCATGCACTCGTTTCTAAGATTGTCAATGGCAGCTTCATAAGTAAAACCTCCCAGTCTGACCAGAGTGTCCCTGATGTCACGCCAGTAGTCATTGAACTTCACGTCATCAACAGAAGCTTTCTCAGCGTGACCGTACACAGTGTTCCTAAAATACTTAACTCGGGCAATGTCTGCTTCCTTGCTAAGGTCTGTTACGGCAGGCAATGCGTCCCAGCCGGTCAGCGGAGCAGTTAAGCCGCATAGGTTCCGTAACAGAACCATCAGCAAAGTTGTGTCAAAGTCACGAGAAGACACTGAGGTAAGGATGGCAGGGTAAAGTTTCCCCCATTGTATGTGATTGATAACCTTCTTCTGTTTAAGAGATTGTAAGGTGGGCTTCTTTGCCGCCAAAACTGAGTGTAAATTTCCTGGTGCATGGATGGCATCAAACGTATCTCGAAGAGCTTGGGTTGCAATATCAACCAGCAGACGGCACAACCTGGCATAGTTTGTTGTTTCCTTTGTGGATGAAGCAGTTGGTGCAGCACTGGCCATGAGCGAGTCCTGTCTTAACATATTTATTCACAACATTATTCTTAAATGGTTTGAACCCAGGAGTATAAGTAGTTCGTGTAGTGTGATCGTCCGGGTGAGTGTAGTTCTGAAAAGAACTGTTGTTGGTGACTGACGTTTCGACGTTTCGACGTTTCTGCGATAGTCATCTTCAGAGTCAAGTGAGGACTAACTGAACACAAACGAGCAACTAGAAATGGCGATGTAAACAATCACATTTCTGAACATCACCGACAAACTAATCACAGAATCGACTGGGACTCTGCTAAATGCTTAACCTACAGTACAAACTATTTTCAACGACTGACTCTGGAAAGCTGGTTCACTAACTTAGAACAGACGCCTCTCAACAGATGTCAACAATTACCAGCACCTTACAAACGACTCATTAACGACGTGAACAAACCGACAAACAGACCGACAAACAACAGACGGATCGAAACCGACCAATGACTGTTAACAAACTCTACACGAGTCTTCCAGCCAATCACATCACGGCTAAACAGACCAATCACGTTCAACAGACCAGACTTTATAACATCATCGACTGACAACTACTCCTCACTTGACTCTGAAGATGACTATCGCACAGATAGTCGAAACGTCAGTCACCAACAACAGTTCTTTTCAGAACTACACTCACCCGGACGATCACACTACACGAACAACATTATTCTTAATAAGTAATCCCCATACTAGAGAAAACGTGTCACAGTTCATGTGAAAGATAATCCAGTTGCAGTTGGAAACTGAAAGCAAAGATGTAAATTTTGTTTTCTGGGGAAAGAGGAAATAATTTGCTGTAACTTGCATTTCTTTCCCTATCGTCCCAAAAAAATTAAATTCTCAACTCTGCTGATGAACAATATTCTTGAGGGCACAAGTACACTCTGTGCTTTATCGCCGTGTTTTCCCGAGTGCGTTATAACGCCGGTAACAGAGCTGATCGGAAGTGTACTGAATGCAACTAAGCTAGAAATCACCACTGGAAATTTGAAAAGAAGTTAATTAATATTGAGTTACGGAGGTCTCCAGTACGAAGCGTAATGAACGTATAAGTATAAGGATGAAATTATGCATGACTATCTGTTTCAGACCTGAGATCGATCAGGCATTTAAAAACTTGCTCTTTTGATGCCTACAGTAAATGCTGAGAAGTTTTTCTCCGGTTATTTATAATGGGTCACTCATGACCATTATTCACTGGGCATTCGAAAATACAACTTTTTGTAAGACTCGTAACAATTCCAAAATCTAGTTTGACATCACTATCTGAAGAAAAAGTGGCTGACAAATTATGTCGATCAAAACGCTCTTTACATAAAAAAGGTATGAAACTAACCTGTAATCTCAGAGGAAAAATCACGAACAAATCGCTTTCTACTCTGCTGGATGAACAATTTCGTTATGTCACGCCGTAAGAGTTTCGGCTGTTACTCATACCCAGGACCTGTGCAGTAATGAAAATTAGCCAAAGTTGACAAGGGAAAGTAAACTCATTTCATTAGGGACGACAACCCACTCCATCTTCAGGTCCTGCGCTGCACTAAACACACCTGTAGGGACATAAAAGTTTCTTTTAAAAATTGTGCAAGTAACACGCGTAAAACGTTATTCTTGCCGCTTCACTGAATTCATTGAATTGTGATTCGACCTCAGGCTTGAGATATCACGTGCAGTTGTTTTAAAAGAACAGAAGTTTGAAAAATTGTGATTTTGGTCACGCTACAGCCCCTCGGGATACATGTACATGTAGCATCTCTTGCATCTATTGTACAAAAGAAATTGCCAGCAGATTGATCATGTTGGCGGAGTACTTCTTCTCACGGATTCCAAACCGTGTTAAGTTTTGTGGGAAATCCAAGAATATACACATTCGAATTTATTCTAAAACCAACTTGAATAAAACTGGCCAGAATAATTTCCTTCTTTTATTTATAAAAAAACAAGCGAGTGAAACCGTGATGCGAAGAAAATCGCTGAAAAAGCCATGTCATTTGCGAAAAAAAATGGAAATGTTGTGGCAAGATCGCTGATCGAACGACCTGTAGCTGTGGTCAGCGAGCGCTATCTTAATCTTGACACACACGACAATAAGCCCTCAGAAAGCGCTAGGAGCGCTGGCGCTGAAATGTTTCGGCAAACCGCGCAATCTTGAGTAATTAAGCCGTATATCACCGCTTATTTACTTAGTAGTGCTCCGCTGACGAAAAGAAATTATTTAATTTAAGCCGGAGATGTCGCCACTAACTGGCACATAGAAGCTACGCGGATAAACTCCCTGATTCGTCACTATTTTGTCGCCCGCGGCAAAGCTGATGAAATAAAAGCTTCAGTAAAGATTAATAACAAACGATAATTCCTTTAAAAAATTATTATGACTTTTAAAACTACTTTAGGTCATAGAGCACAGAATAAAAAAACATCCATTGTTGTTGTGGTATTTATTTCCTCTATGCCGAAAGTTCCCATGAACCCTCACAATTTTGATATGCAGCTGTGATTCACGCTCCTATGTGAGTTTGGGTACCCTGTGTATCAACTTTCTGCTTGGTGACGTTTGCTGTTGCTTCGCTGGGACTCACTCAGACGAATCCGCGACTAGAGGTTTGTTACTCATGACTCGATACAAATAGATGTTTATTGTACGTTTGAATCAGTATTCGATATAATATGTCTTTCCCTAATGATAGAGACAATTTGATATGTCGTCCGAAGCAAAATTTCTCGCTCAAACACAAGCTGATCAGTCACCTGTGCTCATTTTGATTAGGTGTTTCATGAAATAGTTTCAGATCTTTTCAATAGATTTCATCGAAATTCCTGCAAACGACAAAACTTAACTAGATTGCGCCAAGCATTTCATTTTGCTTTTCATCACTGAGTTTGTCTTGTTCATTTACATTCCATCCATTTAGTAAGTGTGTTGTTGATCATACACGGAAAGAGATTATAAACTATTGATATTCTCTTGTACACGGTGAATAGTCAATGCCACTTGAGACAGTCTGTGTAGTGTTAAATTTTACTTGAAAAATTCAAATGTAAAAGTAAGGGCCTTTAATCATCGGGTGCAAGTAATTATTCATCGCCACCATACCACTCCAGGCCACCTCAGCAAAGTGATAAGATTTCAGCCAGTTCCCTGTTAAAATATCGTGATTATCCCGAAAAATACCTCTGACTCACAAACCCACAAAATTATGGAAGTCATTCATCCATTTAGATTCAAACATGCAGAGATCGTTTCTAAATTTGAAAATTTGTCAGTCACTTTTTCAAACCCGAATGAAAACAAACTATTCAACAAAGAAACCTATTTATTTTGAAGTTTTCTCTTTAAGGGACCAGCTTGGAAACAAATGTATTTAACAATTGGTTGAAATTAGAGGTCAAAGTTATGCAAGCAAGTGTTTTGTTAAACTGTGAGTTATTATCATGAAGTTGCATATTTGATTACTCCCTCGGGTGGCAATGGCTTGGCATAAATTATTATTCTTAATTTGCCCGTAAGAAAAAAAATTAGGGGAAGTTTTGTCGCTAAAAGATCAGCGATGTTTACCTCCACGGGGTATTTTTTGGAGCCATCATGTGTGACAAGACATTGTGTGTAATCATGACTCGAGGGTTTGTAAGACAATTACTATCATTCTGTTGGTTCATGAATGATAAATATTTAGTTCTTTAACAGACACTTGTCATGGCCAGTGCTACTCCGACTGCTTCATCCACTAAAGAGACAACAAACTATGCCAAGTTGTGCCGTCTGCTGGTTGATATTGGAACCCAAGCTCTTCGAGACACATTGAACTCTCTCCATCCACCAGAAAATCTATACACAGTTTTGGCGGCAAACAAACCCACCTTACAATCTCTCAGAGCAAGGAGGATTATCAATCCAACACAATGGGGGAAGCTTTTCCCTGCCATCCCTAACTCAGTATCAAAACATTCATTCGATACTACTTTATTGATGATTCTGCTACGAAACCTGTGCGGCTTTACTGCTCCGCTGACCGGTTGGGACGCAATGCCAGCCGTAACAGACCTCAGCAGGGAAGCAGACATCGCCCGAGTTAAGTATTTTAGGAACACTGTGTACGGTCACGCTGAGAATGCTTCTGTTGATGACGTGAAGTTCAATGACTACTGGTGTGACTGGTGGGATACTCTGGTCAGACTAGGAGGTGTTTCTTATAAAGCTGCAATTGACGATCTTAGAAACGAGTGCATGGATCCTGAAGTTGAAGATCACTACATGGAACTACTTAGTGAGTGGAAAAAGGACGAGGACAACATTAAAGATCAGCTGGACGAGATCATGAAAAAGTTGGACGCCTTGGCACCAGCTAAGGAAGTAGATTGAATTTCTTTTAATAGAGGCGATATACCAATTGGGTCCCTTCGGACTGATCTGAGTATGAAAATTTGGAAATCTGTTTTATGTAACAAAATACACGATCGGATGCCTACGAAGCTTGAAAGCTCCCAAAGCTTCCAAAATAAGAAATCTATACCCCCATTCTGTTTATAAATTAATTCATCTTGCTTTTTTAGGTATTATCCTTGAAAAAACACAGTCGAAGAGCTTATTAACCATGTGCAGATATCACGTGGACGAAGAGTGTGTATATTATTGTCGAAAATGCAAGGTTTGCATCTGTCGCATTTGTGGTCAAAGACTTCATGATAATCACACGAAGGCTGGCATACAGCAAGCTGCTGAAGAACGAAAGAGGTCTTTGGAAAAGATCCTGTTCGAAGCCAAGGCTGAAATTGTTGCTGTCGAGAGAAAAATTCGAAAACAAATGGAGCTGAGGGAGAAGAGCAAATCAAGGACAGCTGCTGCCAAAAAGAAGGTCATTTTAAATGTAGAAGGGCTTATTCAAGTTCTGAGAGATCACGAAAATGTGGTAAAGGTAAAGTTGACTGAAATTGACGAAAAACAGGAAAAAAATCATTTAGCACGACTTGAAAAACTGCAAACATTCGCTTCGGAATTGAGGAAGTCGGTTGAACGAAGCGAAGGTATCTTTCAAAGAGACAATGCTGTGGAAATTCTGGAGGACGAAAATGTTGTATTCACCCCCTGTAAAGAGCTTTTAAGCCGCTGCCAGGAAATGAAAGTCTACACACCAGATGATATCAGTTACGTTGTAGATACCACAAACATGACGGCTTTGAGAGAAATGATTCAGCAGTCTTTGGATCAAATAGTTGTAAGTGATCATTCACGATCAGTAGCTCAAGGAAAGGGTTTGAATAAAGCCGATTTGGGCGCCCAAGCTGAATTCACTGTCATTACTAAAGATTCAGAAGGAAAACAGTTTTATAGCGAGCAAGGACAAGTTACAGTCTTTGTTGAATCAATGTCAGGAGCAGAGGAAGTGCACATCATAGATGAGAAGGATGGTATTTATACAGTACATTACAATCCAAGGAGCGTTGGTCCATACCAAATTGACATCGAGATTAATGGATGGCCGTTGACTGGAGAGTTCATGTGAAGCCACATCAGTACAAAGTAGTGACGTCATGTGGTTCACGTGGAAAAACGAGAGGAAAGTTAAAGGGACCAGCGAGTATAGCAAAGAATGAAAAAACAGGAAATATTACCGTGGCAGAATTCGATAAAAAACGATTTCAGGTGTTTGACACCGACTTGAATTACCTGATGACGAGGAAGGGTGTAGCAGGACCACAAACTGAAAACACTGTGAAGATTGGTCCTCCGTGGTCAGTGGCATTTTTACGAACTAGTGACATGACAGAATATACAGTGGTCAAGAGACCAATAGCACTAGCGATCTCTAAGGTTGGTACAACGCGTAATGGCGGCTGTGTCTTTGATAGTCCCAGTAAGTCTGTACTTTCTTGGCGTATTTTGCACACATTTACTCTGGCCAGATGTATATTTCGCTGGCAGAGTCATCAGTGAATCTAATGGCTTCGAAACTCGGCCGACTCTCGCTTCATTTAACGTGAATTTGGTGATATTCTTCGACATTCGTCGCCACATGGCTATCCGCCATATTGGATTTTACAAACCATCAACCGCTTACTTTGCAGCAAGGGTCAAGCGATATTCGAACTCAGAGTCGACTTTTCAGCTGGAAAGGTTAGCAGTCAGTGGCGATATTTCACCAAATCCAGGGCCTGATAAATGCAGCACATGCTTAAGATCTATCGCTCGTAATCATCGTGTATTATGCTGTGCTTCATGTTCAAGTGAGTACCAAATTAAATGTGGTGGTGTGAAGCCTTTCGAGTACAAACGCATGCAGCAGTTTGCAAACCAAGTTTGGATCTGCCCAATGTGTATTTCTAGACATTTAATGGAACAGCTACCATTCTATGATGTGAGCAATTATATTACTGAATCGTTGGCAATTTCGGAGGAGGTAGTGGAGACTGACTTGGAACAGGAGGACGCTACACTGATGATTGACCCACTTCAAACTGCCAGACAAAAGAATGGCAAGGATTTATTGGTGTGTCATTTAAATATAAACAGTATCCAGAATAAATTTGAGGAATTGAAGGATATTATTCTCAAATCAACTGTGCAAATTATGGCTGTAAGTGAGACAAAAATTGATGGATCGTACCCAGATTGTCAGTTTCTCATACCGGGTTATTATTTACACCGGAATGATAGGAAGAAAGGAGGTGGTGGAGTTCTCATGTTTGTTTCTTCCAAGATACAATCTAAGAGGATATCCATTGAAAGGAAATACAAAACAATCGAGCCTCTGGCACTAGAGATTGGCCTTAAATCAAGAAATGCAATAGTCGTGGCTATCTATAGGCCACCAAAGAAAGTCACTGGAAGTTATCAACTATTGCTAGAAGAAGAACTGAGCCATATTTCCAACTGGGCTGGATTGCAGTACTCAACTGTTATAATGACTGGTGACTTGAATTTGAATAGGCTTAAGCCAGATAGCACTGAGGGTAAACTACTGCTTGACCTTGAAGTGGAACAGGGATTTGACTGTATGATAACCACACCTACAAGGATACAAATGCAAGGATCAATTACTACACACAGTCTGATAGATGTTATTCTCACCAACCAACCACAATTGTTTGGTGACTGTGGAGTATATAACCCAGAGATCAGTGATCATGCACTTGTATATGGGTTCTTGAATGAGAAGGTAAAACCTCAAAAAGGCAAGATTGTTAAATTTAGATCATTTAAACATCTTGACGCAGAAAAGTATAAGGACGAACTGATGCAGGCTCCCTGGCATGTAGGTGAAATTTTTGATACTGCTGATGATAAGACCAGTTTTTTGGAAACATTGTTATCTAGTATTGTTGATGAGCATCTTCCGGAAAAGAAAATGAGAGTGAGGACTCAAGATGTCCCTTATATGACAAACGAATGGAAAAAAGCCATTAGGGCTAAGAGAAGAGCAGCAAAGAAATATCTGAAGGTGCAAAACAGAGAGAATTGGGAGGCTAAACGTAAAGCAAGAAACGAGGCCACTAGACTCAGGAGAAAGGCGATAAGGGAGTATTGGAAAGATCAAACTACTCAATTGAAATGTAAGCCTGGTGAGTTCTATAAAACATTTATGCCCTTCTTGAGTGAAAAGAGGAATAAGGGTACCACTAATGAGTTGAGCTTAAACATTGAAGGAGCGATAAGTCATGATCAAAGTAAGATTGCAAATCATCTATGTCACTATTTTTCTACCATTGCTGATGGTATTGGTGACACAGAAGGCATTACTGACTCTTCTTTTGTGACTCATTCAAGTGTTCGGAATATCACAGAGAATATGATAGGCCATCAAGACTTCCAGTTTCGGAATCTGGAGATACTTGAGGTGGAGACCGCACTGGAAAGTATTAACCCCAGAAAGAGTACTGGTTGGGATGGTGTCCCCCCCAAAGCATTTAAGCTGGGTGCTAGAGAACTATCAGGGCCTCTGACAGCATTATACAATTCATGTATAACATTGGGTGAGTGGCCTGCGGTGTGGAAGAAAGGAGAGTGGACACCAGTATTTAAGAAAGAGGACCCCCATGAGAAAAAGAACTATAGGCCCATAACTGTACAAGTTACTATAAATAAGATTTTTGAACAGTTACTTAGTAAACAGCTTAATTATAGTTTCAATGATAAATTATGTGATAAACTGACAGCCTACAGGAAAAATCATAGCTGCGAAACAGCTCTACTGGCTATGACAGAGAATTGGAAGATATCTTTAGATGAACATAAAGTGGTAGGTGTTCTTTCTACGGACATGAGTAAAGCCTTTGATTCCCTCTACTATCCACTCACACTTGCTAAATTAAAGGCTTATGGTATTCGGGGGAACAGTCTAAAATTGTTGGACTCCTACTTCACTGATCGGTACAATAGGGTGAAGTTGGGATCCACAGTGAGTGAGTGGGAGAGGGGGTCAAGGGGATGTCCACAGGGCTCCGCATTTGGACCATTGATATGGAACATGTTCCAAAATGATCTGACATACAGTGTAAATTCTAATTCTAATATCAATATGTATGCAGACGACCACCAGTTCCATGCTGCAGGCAGTAATGTTACTGAGGTGCATGATAAGTTAATAGCAAGTGCCGAATTAGCCTCCAGATGGTATAGATCGAATTTCTTAAAAGGGAACTATGACAAGTATCAGACAATGACACTTGGGAATAAAAATAATGATATGGATAGTATTATAATTGATGACAATGAAGTTAAATCTACCAAGTGTTTAAAACTTCTTGGGGTATATATAGACAATAGGCTTCAATTTGATGAACACATTGCTAACATTTGTAAGAGGAGTAGCCAGCGTGTTGGAGTCCTGATGAGGCTCAGGAATATGATACCAACAGACACCAAGCTGAAGTTGTTTAAGGCAGCCATTCTTCCGTATTTAACATACAGCCATCTTGTCTGGCATTTTTGTAGGGCGAGTGATACTAGAAAATTGGAACGTATTCAAGAAAGGGCACTTAGGGCAGTTTACTGTGATAAGGGGAGTAGTTATGATAAATTATTAGACATGGCTAACCTAAGTACACTGCAGAACAGAAGACTACAGGACATAGCCATTCTTATGTATAAGGTAAAGAACAATTTATCTCCTAATTACATATGTAGTCTTTTTCAAATTCCACAACTTAGGTACACACTGCGTAATAATGATTTTGGTATACCTAGATTTAATACTGTCACTTTTGGAAAACATTCGCTTAGATATATGGGACCCAAAATATGGGCAATTGTACCAAGAAATGTAAGAGAACTGACATCCATATCATCTTTTAAATGTAACATACGTAGAATAGACCTTGTTTCTAAATTGACTGATAGTAAATGTGAAAACTGCCTTTTATGTAAGACTTAGGTTAGATTTTAAATTGTACATATATATTGTTTTATTTTTAAATTTCTCAAATTTTTAGGTAGTATTTAGTGTCCCCAGTTAGTGGTTGTATAACTGCTATTTTAGATTTGACACATAAATAAAGGTTGTTGTTGTTGTTGTTGTTGATTGTCATTCATGGCGATTTGTTTTCGAGAAAAATGTCTCTTATCACTAATGATGGTCAGTTTATCGAAAAGTTCAGCGCACACGTGATTGATCCCGGAAGTTTGTTTGTTAAAACTGATCGCGATGGTCACGTGATCGTGTGCGATGAAGGTGACCGTGAAATCAAGGTCCTTTCTTCAGACGGTGCGAAGTTGCTACAATCCTTAAGTGCCCCCGATTGCAACGCTGTTCCCAGTTGTGTTTTTTATCATCGTGACAAGTGTTTTGTATCTTACTGGGAGATTCATCATGTCAAGGTGTTCGATGGGGAAGGAAAGTTTCTTTTTAACATTGGCAGCGAGGGGTCTGGTAAAGGACAACTCATGTATCCTAGAAGTCTTGTTGTTGATGCTTTCGATAATCTGATCGTCTGTGACAGTGGCAATAAAAGACTGCAAATGTTTACACAGGATGGAACATTTCTGTCATCCTTTGGTCAAGAAATCCAAACACCCTGGAGTATGACAATTTGTTTCAATGGTGATTTGTTGGTAACTGATTATGGAAAACATTGTATATATACACTGCGATAAACTGCTTTTTCTCCAAAACTGATTAGGAGGTCGGGCTGCTTTTGCTTCAGTAATAATACCTTTTGCCGAGAGATTATATTCTGTTGCTTTTACAATATACTTTGCAAATTGCTGAGACCGTCAGTAAAACCCTATATGTTAAATATGTGGCGTAAAAGACGATTGTACACGTAGTGTTCTCAACAAATAACGAATGACTTCTTGTGGAACATAACTTCCATGTTTAATTCCACCAAAATTTAATTTTTGTATATAATAACGATAATGATAATAATGATAACAACATTACATCTGATAAATATTAACAATGATGATGATTATCATCATCATTATCATAATCGTTCCTCAGCCGGGGCTGTTCAGGGAAATACAAAATAAGATACATCATCAGATTCTAACTGATCACAACTCCAAAATTTTTGCTATGAACGCCTGGCTGCCACAAGCCGTTGTCGTCATGGTAACTTTTCAGGAACCTTTTGCTTAAAAACTCTCATCGACTAAATTTTATATCGATAGGCCTTTCGCAACACTCGACGGAAAAAAAATCGCAAATAAATGAAATGTCACGACTCGACAAGTTACGTCTTTTCAGCTGTTCATGACAAAGTTCACGACACTTACAAGGGAGAGGGAGACAAGTATTGATTCTGTTCGAAATGAACGCGTGCGTCGTTTCACTACTCAGGTAGCAGTCCTTTAATCCTTAGTCTTTCTTTGAGTTTTTCCACAGCATGTTGCACAGCCTCGTGACTGTTCGGGTAAAGACGAGCCTCCGTGCTTATTCCACTCTCTAAGTCCCAGGCAGTGGCATCAAACACCCAGAGTTCTTTCAAGGAGTGCACTCTTCCACGGGATCTGTAGTGAATTTCTCGTCCTTTGTAACTGATCTGAAAATTTACAATGCAGATAATTTTCGTGGCAATTATCAATAGTTATCAGAAATATCAAAGTTTATGTACACAGGGGGTAAGTTTCTAAAGAAACTGTGATGCTGCATCGGTGTGAGAGTACAACAGGTAATTTAGTGTTAACAATTGAGTTGAAAACGTAAATTGGCCACCATAAAGAGTTAACCGAGCGTTAGCCTTTCTTCAGAGTGATTGGAGGAATGGTGGGTTATGTGTGGGTTGATATGCAGAAAATGGAGCTATGCCATTGGTGGGAATATGGTGACGAGAAAACATGAATAAATTAGTTGAATGAAAAGAGTTCGTTAATACCGCGTGGATTAATAATCCCCAAGGTATTAGCAAACCAAACAAACCTACCAATAGGGGGGGAGAGAACTCTTGGAAGATTTTGTTGGTGCCATGATAAAATTCACCTCATCACCCCTAAAAGCTCTGTAATATTATTATGATCATCCCCCATAAGGTTCTGTAATATTCTTATGATCCTCCCCCATAGGGCTCTGAAATATTATTATGATCCTCCCCCATAAGGCTCTGTAATATTATTATGATCCTTCCCCATAAGGCTCTGAAATATTATTATGATCCTCCCCCATAAGGCCCTGTAATATGCTTATGATCCTTCCCCATAAGGCTCTGTAATATTCTTATGATCCTCCCCCATAAGGCTCTGTAATATTCTTATGATCCTTCCCCATAAGGCTCTGTAATATTCTTATGATCCTCCCCCATAAGGCTCTGTAATATTCTTATGATCCTTCCCCATAAGGCTCTGTAATATTCTTATGATCCTCCCCCATAAGGCTCTGTAATATTCTTATAATCCTTCCCCATAAGGCTCTATAATATTCTTATGTTCCCTCCCCCTATAAGGCAATAAAAGTAACCATAATTTAAAATTGTGTTAGTAATAAAAAGTCAACATAAAGGGAACAAAAAGAAAACAGAAAGCAAACATCATGCTAATAATTATTGTTTTAAATTTGGGACACTAAAATATTTTTAGGTACCTATTGGGAAGGTTCTCCTAAGGAATTAAAATTGGAGTTTTGAGTACATATGAAGTTATAATACCTAGTCTGATTCACCAGTTAGTGAGTGAGTGCAGAAAAGACCCCAATATATCATTTGGACTGTTCCTCCTTGCGATTGCTCCATTATTAATAACAGGTACTTGGACTGAAACAAAAGAATTATTACAATTAAAGGTGAGACTTTAATGGGGTGCACATATTATGGGGTGCCATATAGGACAGTATTATATAGCAACAAATATTTACAGTTAATGAAATATATATGGCTATCTTGAATATATATATGGCATTGTTTCATATGTTTGGGGCTAATCACATAATTTATATACATTCATTCAATTACAAATATATTTACAGTATACAGCAAATATTTATTCCTTTTTCATTCAGATATATCTAAGGCATTACAAAATTAAGTATAGGTCATTGCTTACAAATATATAAGGTTATTGTGCCCGCTATCAAGTTGGGTCAGTCATTGGTGATACTTTATTGCTTTAAAAAATATATATATGGCTATTGAGCCTGCTAAAGATTTGCTTAGTGATGATACTAATCTTGTTATTTTAAGAAATTGGTGGGGAAAATGATTGATGATTTTGAGGAATTTTTGCAACATTTGATCCCCTCAATCTTTCAGCATGCTTGTTGAAACCTTCATCTCTTTAATTTTATTCAAAAGTTTTGAATTGTGCTTCAGTGCCTTGCAAGGTAACTACAGTTGGTTACAACATAACTACACCCAACTAACTGTTCAAACTCAAGTGTAAACATGGATTTATTATTCAGGATCTAATAATCTGCTTTTTTCAACTTAGTAACAAATTAATTGTACCACAGAATTTACTCCCAAAAATTGAACAGTATTCTCAAACAATATATTGTTCAACTGTTTTGTCTAATTTCTACAAAGGTCAATGTGTTTTCAAGACTTTGACTAGATGATATTCATGTGTTATTAAGGTTGACAGATAACAGTTGGATTTCTCCATTTCTGTAACATAACTGCTTAAAGCTGTGTAATCTGATTTGAAACCCACAATTCTTACTTTTCTGTAAAATTTGAAAACAGTAGAATTAATTTCCAAATGCATTAATCTGAATAAAAAAAGAACACAACACTTTTAAAGATAAGCCTTAACACTGGAAAAAATGAGGTAAAATTTCCCATATCCTACTCCAACACATTGCAAGCTTGTAATCAGTGCTTTTCTAAATGCCTCAAGCATATGATTCATGAGCTACAGGGATAATGATCTTGTTAAAACAACTATCTGCCTGAAAAAGTGGTAGAGTAGAATCGCCACTCAATAACAGCCATGGTCTGGAGTCATTTTTTAGGTATGAGCTGCCAGTTACAAATTCCACCAGTGTGCTGACAATAGGTTTTCTAGTGCACTCATCTAAATGAAAGAATAAAAAATACACTTTTAGTATTAGCTACTTTCCTGCAATCCTCTTGGAACTGTTACAGCCCAGGGGAAGGGGCTGTAAAGTGAGGGCAATATTTATCATGATAATTTTGTGCTGAATTTGAAAAAAAATGCTGAATTGGTATTTTGAAGATGGTTTGAATAGTCTTTGCTGTTAATGACTCAATGCTGAAGACCAAAGTGGAATCATAAGCAGTCAGCCCTACCCTTAAATCAAGCAGCACTGTTTAAATGATGCCCAGAAAGGAAAAGACGAGCTTGATTTTAGTTAAAAGCCAGGGGTACAGCCCCCTGTGTTCAATATAAGAAAAATGGGAACAAAATAAAACTCACCATTTTATTGGGATTAATTATGCAGTCAATCAAATTGTCTTTGTTAGCCCATGAGGCACTAGCTTTTTGTCCAGTTTGTCTCTTCCTTCACTAGTTAGGTACATATTTTCTTTGACAATGATCTAGAATACCGCAAAAAATATCCCAAGTAAACAAGATGTGCAATCTTTTTACATTTAGGTTTCCCCTTTGCTGTTGATTTTTTGCTGGGGAAGTTATTAAAATGAATGCACTGTGGAATGCATGCCAGTCTTGCATAGAACAAAAATATTCATGTGGAATTTCTTTTTTCTCTGATCATTAACTGGTATTTTTAAGATTTAACAGACTCAACTAACTATTCAACAATGAGACTAAGAGCACTTTATCAAAATGTCTTTTAACCCTTGAACTCTCGGAAGTGATCAACATGAAACTTCTCCTTATACTAAACTTTCCATCAATCATTATAAATATTTCCCAAAAAGCTGAATTGCTTTGCGCAATTAACAACTAATTATATGTGTAATTTACTGCATGAACACAATTAGATACGCCATTTCAATGTTCCCTACTTATTCTTCCCCACAGCAGGAGGGATGGACAATAGTATCAAGCCATACTTGCATTTTAGTTCATATGATTCTGTATTATAGTTACTGTAATAGTTAATAACTAAATCTCATACACTAAATAATTAGAAATTATCTCACAAATACATGACATTCACTCTGTATAATTCACTAATTACTATCAATTAAAAACTTACTTTGTTCTCAGTTCAACATCATACAAATCTTGAACAGAAACCTTTTCTTTAGCTTTACAAACTGACCCAGTGGAGATATACTACACCACTAGTGAAGACATGCCAACAAACCCATCACAAGAATGGAGTAAGCTGTAGGCTACAGGCTTAATGGCTTTGGTCTTGACTTTAAACATCACGGAATGGAGTTAGAGAGGTGTGGTATTGCAGAATATCAAAATATCATACATATATTATCAAACCCTTTTCCTAATATTTTTTTCTTAGAGGGTCTGAGATCATGATAAATTATTTCAAGTGTCTTAGGCTTTGATGTTTTCATATATTATGGTATTATCAAATTATCAGATACCTATTTGATAATAGAATGCTTTTAGTCTCAGTGTTGAATAGATAATGTCAACTAAGTTAACTTCACATAAATTTGAAATCACATGAAAACAGTTTGTTTCTTCCAGGGAGAAACAATAAGGCAAAATGCCCTGTTTCTGCCTTCTTTCTCGTGTAAATATGTTTGTTCATTGATTAGAGGAGCCCCCTATTTTGCTTGACCTTTGGTTTGGTGGGCTTTTACTATTTTAGTTGACATCACCTAAATAGCCGACTAAAATTTACTAAATTTATCTAATTATTCAACAGTGAGCACTCTATCAAAATGTCTTTTAACCCTTCAACCCTATAACCCCTAAGAGTGACTAGCATCTAATTTCTCCTCATAAAATCACTTCTAAATCACACATTAATGTTATGAGAATAAAGGAAATGATCACTAACTCAGTAAAGAAACTCTTGATTGTTAGACACATTCTCCTTGTCAGCACATTTATTTAGTAAATGTACAGAGAACAGTGTGGAGAATATAAATGTGACCTCACGCGAAAACGTTCCTTACGGTATCCGTTCGAACAGTCGAACGCACGGTATGTGAACGGATGACAAACAGATAGAGAAACCGTTTAAAACGAATGGTTTCGAACGGTTGAAGTCGAACGGCTGAACGGCTAAAGGAAAATTTCGAACGGTTGAAGTCGAACAGCTGAATGGCTAAAGGAAAATTTCGAACGGTTGAAGTCGAACGGCTGAACGAAAATGAGTATATTGATGTTAGGGTGTAAAGGGATAACTCCCAGAAGTGATTAACATGAAACTTCGCCTCATAATATCCTTACATTATCCAGCAAAAAGGTAATGAGAATATTCAAACTAATCAGGTAGAAATTGTTATCTTGACCTAACACAATTTACAAGGAAATGTGTAGCAGAAAGAGGGGGTAGAATTAACAATCAGATCCCAGGAGTTAAAAGGTTCGGGATCAAAAAAAGTGTCTGAGGCTTTGATGTTTTGATAATATCATGACAATTTGATAACTTAGTGGTTTGATATGAGATTCTGATATCATTTAAGTCAATATTACCATCTGATAATTTGATATTCTGCAATTCTACACCCTAGTTAAGAAATAAAGTTCTTTCAATTGGAGTTAATTCACTTGAAGCAAGCTTTTTGAGAATAGCCATGTTAATGTTCTTGTAATTTTAGTAATTTCTACCCAATTACTACTTCTTGTGTGATCATGAAGCGCACAGACTTGAGGCCTTCGGACCAACATCCTTTTCTTAAATTGGTATTTACTTCTGTAAGTACATTCTGTAGGTGTGATCTCACAATTTGAAAACTTCATTATGAAAAATGATAGCCGTCTTATTGAAACTTGATGACAAGTATGAGCCGGCAAAGAAAACAGTGCAAAAGCAATTATCTGTCACATCGATGTCAGCAGACCAACATCCTTTTCTTTAAATTGGTATTTACTTACAGTACAGACGATTTGCGTCCCCTCATGGAGATAACCATTTATATCATCAGTTGAAACAATTCATCCATCACCTTACCTTCAAAAACTGGTATGGCATTAGGACCTTATCATCCAAAACACTTGCTACAGCTTCATCTATAGTGTTGTTTGTATCCAGTACTGCTTTCAGGTAATCAACCTCATGTGAAGGGAAGATTTGTTCAGATCATTAATACTTTTCCTTTTACCACCTGAAGGTACTGATGATTCTGGAGTGTCTATGCCTGTTGAAAATACAGTTTATCAGTTTACATCAAACTCTGCTTTAGAGTTAAGACTTTCACAAGGAAACAACCACACAGTTCTCTGTGAAAATAGCCCACTTATCATCTCTCCATCTAATTCCTGATCTGGTGTGAGGGACAGCTCAACAAATTATGCATCTATGCCCATCATTATTTTAACTCTGGGCAGAAATGATGAAAAAAATGGGAATAAAAATAATTTCATCATGGACTTCTTTTGAACCAACAAACTTACACATTTGAGTAGGTGGGGTACAAATCAGACAATTACTGGCACTTAGCACCTCTAGGGGCACATATTAAATGTTATGCACCTATCAAAGTAAAATATCTTCAAGCATCTGATCAAAGTCCCAAGGTTGGGGAGAAAACACCCTGCCCCTCACACATATTATTACTGCACAAGATCTTATGTGAATTTGAATAAAATGATAAAAATACAAGGTGACTTTGTACTATTTTTCATGCAAAACTGTTGTATTGATTTAATAAATTTTGCAATGACAATAGACACTTGTCTAGTAGATCTTATTTACATTGTTTATTTCACGGTTTTTCGTTTGCTATATCACTCAAAGGAGAAAGAAGACAAATACAAAGTAGGAATGTCAAACTAAATATAAGTTATCAGTTTCACTTACTTGGGTTCACAGGTAATCTTTCCCAGAGATTCGATCTTTGTGTCAAAGGCGCTCACCAACTCATTATAAATCACTCTTAAGCGGACCAATTCTTCTCGAAAATAAAACAGCTGATTGCGTGGCCCTGCCGTTGCAAATCCCCCTTTGCCTTCCCTCGGGGAAAAGATTCAGATCATGTGGCCATCTAGATAACACAACTTCCTAGCACTGTCGCTCTTGCAGCTACTTCCACATGTAGCGGGCCCCCAGGTCGTTCTTAATGCGTACCGAGGAGGGGAACTTGAATTATTTCGGTGAAATATTTAGCTCCTGTACTTATGAGTGCCCCAGCCTGTGCTTGTACTGGTTGTCCTGTTTGCACTGAGGTTGAACTGATGTAATTTGGACTGTAGAAGATCTGGATGAACCTTCACCCAGTGAACGTTGTACTTTCAATGCTTCCTTAAAATCAGGATGTTCAATAATCTGATGCACAATACTATCTCAGCTTTGAGAAGTGGATGGAGGGAATGAGGAATTCTCCATCTTCACAACATGCACTCGATCGCAGATTTGCCGCTAAAAGTATCACCGCTGACCTAGTTTGATAGCGGGCACAGTAACCGTATACATGTGAATGAAAAAGGGCATAGGTATTTGCCGTATACTCTAAATATATTTGTAATTGGATGAATATATATGTAATTAGCCCCAAATATATGAAACAATGCCATACATATATTTAATATTCATCATAGCCATATATATTTCATTTACCGCAAATATTTGTTGCTATATAATATTGTCCTACACCGGCACCCCATATACTTTTGCGAGAAACAAACGACATTTCAATAACTAGATACATTAAATGTTTGTCAAATTGGTATTTTTCAATCCAAATAAAAGGGCTGGTTGTCGCGACAAAATTAAGTCGTTGTGGAAAAAACCGGGGTGGAACCATCTCAGTCCAGCAAAACGGTTAAACTCAACGTTGGTTTTGTGAAAAAGTAAAGTAGGCTTAAACCTTAGAGTTAACAGTTATATTCCCTTAACCTTCATTTGGTGCTCTTCCCATATCGCTGCTCGGGTAATGCGCCCATCCTTCAAACACATCAGGCACACGAAGGATGTTTTTGACAACAGAAGCTGCCATGACACTGGCAAAAGGCTTCCAGTCCTCAGTCAGAGAGGCCGTGCCGTCTATATAGCCAGAAACGCCTTTGATTACCACCCACTCCATCTTCAGGTCATGAGCTGCACTGAACACACCTGTGGAAGGACACATTGAAGTTTATGATCACTGTTGTGTAATTAGCGGATGTGAAAAAATAATTCTCTCAGCTTCACTGAATTTATTGAATTGTAACTTGACTCGGCTTAGGCTTGAGATGTCACGGGCCGTAGCTTTAAGAGGACAGCACTTTGACAGATTGTGATTTTCATTATGCTACATGTGCGTGTAATCCTTGCGACACTAGAAAAATTAGTACCAGATTGATCAGGCTTCCGTATCGTGTTTGTATAGTCTAACCTCTTCATTCCTCTTTTGAACGTAATTAAGTATAATTATCCTGATTCTATTACGTTTTCGGTCACTTAGAACTTACTGAATCGTAACACACTGTTATTTTAAGAAGAGTCGTGACAATGGAAAACAACATCATTATTGAACGCTTTCGGGTAAAGCCCAGAGTATACACACTGGAATTGATTCCGAACAGACTTAGATATCAAACTGAACAAAATTATTCCTTCTTAGTTATAACCAAGAGACTGAGGCCGCAATACGAGAGGAATTCGCTGAAATGGTCGATGAAGCGAGGAAAGTGAAAGTAAACATGATAGCGTGATCGATGATCGATTGACTTGCAGCTGTTGATCACTGAGACTATCGTGGTCAGCGAGCACTATCTTAAACACGCGAAAATGAGCTCTCAGCAGACAAACGGAGCTTTAACGTTGAACTGTTTCGTCAAACTAAGCAACCCTGGATGATCAAACTCTGTATTAACGCTTACTTCTTAGCGCTCTGCTGACGAAAAACAACCTATCAATCTCACCTTGGCCATCCATTTCGACTGCGATTGCGTTGGGGTAGAGCTTTACGAGTTCGTCCCTTCTTTCTTCGGAGTCAATCTCTTCTGGTCCGCTCAAAAACTCTCCATCGCTATGAACTTTCACTGATCCTCTTTCTTCTTGATTCTTTAAAGGGGCACTCCAGCCATGACCAGCGTAATTTATCAAGCCAGAGATGTCGCTACTAACTGGCACAGAGAAGCCGTGCGGATAAACTCCCTGATTCGTCACTTTTTTGTCTGCGTAAGTAGTCAGCTTTGCGGAAACGATAACATCTCCTAGCTTAGTCTTGTCCCGATGCAATGCTCCACAACAACCGACACAAAACACAGCTTTCGGTCGTAATTTCACCACAGTATTCTTTACTGCGATTAGTGCTCCTCCCGGTTTTGCTGCTCCCTCTGAACATTTAATTAAAGCGACTTTCAGTTTCGTATCTCCGACTTCACCCATCTCTCCGAAATACACATGACCGAGGCCTCTCTCGTAGCTTCGAAAGACATTTCCTAGATTGAAGTAACAGCTTCGAAACTCGATGTCTTTCACAGTCAGGAGCAGGATATCTATCGGAAGCTGGACATCCTTCAACGCCTTAAAGTTATTCGTAATATCGCTCTCCTTTGGAATTTCTTTTTCCAATTCTGGCGGCATTTTTTTGAGGTATGGTGAGGTACTTTCACTACCAGTTTCGCTTGCTGACAACATGGTTTGCTTTGTGCTTGATTAGCATTCAAAGTTACGTCACGCTTCTCAATTGTCCATTGTTTCAGATTTAGGGAAATTTCCCGGAAACAGTGGAAAGTGGACTTTCAGTTTCTATTCTTTCCAGTAAATAATATGTTCAAAGCTGATATGATAACAGCTTTAATACGATTAATAAAAACGATAATTTCTAAAACGATAGAGATAATTTTTCAAGGACAAAATAGCTCACCGGCTAATAAAGAATGAAGAAACAATTGTATAGTGATTTTATTCCATGCAGGATAATTTCTCGTCAATATTTGCCACTTTGAACGCTGTGACTTAAATTGAACTTCGAGTTAGTAGAAATAACTTTCTATTTTATAAGCCTTAAGGTAAGTCATACAGCTATGTTCGTTCGTGTTAGGTAGACTTTAAGGATTAGTTTACAAGGTACACCTGCCTTCCTTTACCCTTTTCATCCAAACATCAATATACATAATCTCCTTTTTATTCTCTAAACATTTCCTAAAATGCTGAGACGGAAAGTTTGTCGAACAATCAAGAGCTTCTTTAGTTGGTGATCAGCTCCTTTATTCTCCTGACCTTAATGTTTGATTCAGGGGGGTATGGTAAGGAGAAATTAGATGCAAATCATTCTTAGGGGTCAAAGGGTTGATATTAGCAATGAGAATAGGCACTTTGAGGCCTTCGTAAAAATGTAATCGATGTGATAATTCCACCTTAGATCACTTCTGATATACACTCCGAGGAGTTTAAGGAAGAGGGCAAGATCCACAAGGTTATAACTATGAATTATGGGTACCTCTACAACGTTGTGATTATGCATTAAATTAAATCACATTTCTTTGGATTTTTTATGTTTAAACCCACGTTGTGGTCATTTGAAAAATGTAAATGTCATTAGCAACTGGATTGAGTAGACTGCAACCACTCCAAGCCAAGATTTCGAGAGCTGTGGTGTCATCAACAAATTTAAGCTTCAATTTCAATCCTTCAGTAGGTTGTTAGTCATCAGGCCGTCAACAGGATAACACCAAGTTTTGTTCCTTGAGGAATGCCACCTTTGGGGAATTTCCAATCTGACTAAAAAAAAAATTTCGATCCTTACAGACTGTCTCCTATCGGTCAAGATTGAAACTTCCTTGAAGTGCGTAGGCCCTGGGCATGAGAAATAACACGTGACAAAGAAATGATTCTTTTGTCACGCATTCATTGTAAAATTCTCGGTAGCGAGCAGTGTTTGGCTACATTCTATTTCTTCTCCTCCGTGTGAGACCAAAGGTTTGTTTCCTATCGTTTGATATCTTTCATTCTCTTTTAACATAAATTGCGGGCCAAGTTTTCCTCGAATGGACAGCTAGCGACCCAAATGGTCACTCTTAAAATTGTCACCCAGAGCGGTAATTCGATAAAGGCGTAATATGTGACTAACACAGTCTACAGACTGTACGATTTTACGCCTCTGTCTGCGTCGACTGGAAGAAATTACGCCGCTAGTTAGTGGCGTAAAATCTTACATAGAAACATTTCCGACTGGAAGAAATTACGCCGCTAGTTACTGGTGTAAAATCCTACATATAAACATTACCGACTGGAAGAAAGTACGCCGTTAGCTACTGGCGTAAAAAATCTTATATAGATACATCATCGACTGGAAGAAATTACGCCGCTAGTTACTGGGGTAAAATCTTACATGTAAATATTACCGACTGGAAGACACTACGCCGTTAGCACTGGCGTAAAATCCTACATATAAACATTACCGAGTGGAAGAAATTACGCCGCTAGTTACTGGTTACCCATCTATGACCTTTGACGTAATAAAGAAATAAATAAGAAATTTTCCTTTTTGACGTAATAAAGAAATAAATAAGAAATTTTCCTTTTTGGGGGCCATTAGATGGAAGTAAACAAAACTTTGCTAGGTTCAGCTTTTCAAAGGTTGCGTTTTCCATTTCTGCTCCCGCTTCCTGCCGTCTCCAGCCCCTTGTTCTCCCGGGCGCTCGCCCCCCTGTACCCCTCCACTAATGTAGAACAAATACTTTCGGGAGACCAAAGAGATTTGATCTGGTAAATTGGCCGCACAAAAGCTGAAAAGAGATAACGATTTACGCCTTTACTATGGCATAAAACTTCATAAGTACATTTACGACAAAAGTGTCGAAGACGGAGTCATTTATTAAGATAGTTTATTTCATAACAAACAGGTTGGTTCCTCGGTACCCCCGACAAAAGTGTACTTATCCAATCACAATCAGTTGTACTATACTTCGTGCGAGCACATCCAGAAACCCATGACCTAGTTATGGGTTCCCATTCTTTAGATTTTTGGACATTTGATAAGTTCAGTACAACCAGTTATGTTGGGGGTATCATCCACAAACCAAGTGGACTCATTGTTGCCGAGATATACCTGTAAAGGTCTTACTTACCTTGAAGCACTGACTTGCTAGACACCCGAACCTTCTTAAGTATGAATTGGAGTATTCAATAAGGTTAGTTACATACTTTATAGCAAGCGTTGTAAATTGCATTATTAAAACCTACTAGTTAAGTGTAGTCTTCGGAGGTGGGTTCACGTCACTTTCCTCGATGACTTCTGCCAGGCTATGTGCCTCTCACTATTTCCCAGGAGAGCGTAACGCCTGTATAGAAATTTCAGCCATTATGTTATCTAATTCCAAAGGTGTGACTTCAAGTGTTGTACTTAGGTAGAGAAACTGTTCCTCAGATGTTTTAACGGCGTGGTTCGTCAGCTTTACTCAGCCAACAGACGGACATCTTACTGTCTAAATCCTCAATCCTGTCTGACCACCCTTGCTGTCAATTCGATCGGAAAAATTAACCTTAAAGTGTCTTTCATGTTTTCTGTAGGCGATGATTTGTCCTTAACACCATCCCAGTACTCTGTAACTTCACCTGATTTGTCCTTCTCGTCATATTCCACTTCAATTAAACGGTTGATCAAGGCTCTTCATTCGGTTTTCTTTTATTGCTTAATATATGTCTGCGCTTATCCGGCGGACCTTCGTCACGACACTTGCCTTGCCGGACTTGTACGCTTTCGTTTGGCCTTCTGCTTGCCAGGAGATGATTTGTAGGACGTTTTCACGTTCTCTTTGCAAACTGCTGTTTTCACAGCGTGGGGGTTTATATGTAAGATTTTACACAAGTAGCTAACGGCGTAGTTTCTTCCAGTCGGTGATGTATAAATGTAAGATTTTACGCCAGTAACTAGCGGCGTAATTTCTTCCAGTCGGTGATATATATAATGTCAATTTTACGCCAGACTACCGACTGAGATAGTGGCGTAAAATCTTACAGTATATAAACTGTGTTAGTCACATATTACGCCGTTATATATATTCACAGTGATATATGGTTAATTGGCGTTAAAAACACCGTAAAAGTCAAACTGTTCTTTAAAAAAATATATTAGATTTTATTGCTTGCGCGTTGTCACTTTGCACTACTATGAGCTATACGTGACATTAGTATAGAGGCCAAGGCAATAAATAACTTCACTCGCCAGCTACTCTAGCCTCAGTGGTCGAAAGCTCCCTTTAAGGAAACAGCAGATTTATAAACCAAAAGGGTTGTTAATCTTCAGTTTAAAAGGTAAAATTTACGGCCGTTGTCTTCTTCTCCTTGCTACAGGGATAAGGCTGGGATAAAGGTAATGGCTGGTGAAGGCGCAGATTTAGCTGCAAATGGAGTCAGGGCGGCTTTTGAATTGATAGCGTCAGCAAGTACATCAGGCTTTTCTATCTCGGTGAAAATAGACAGCCCCATTCTGGCAGGATTTGCGTTGGCTGGAGCCCTGACGTTGGGTGCATTTTTCTAAAAGGCAGTCTGTTGAAAATGCGATAAGGAATGCCTTAGAAGAAAGGAATGAAAACGGAGCTGATCCTGAAGTCAGGAACATCGGGGATGGTTCAATTTTGGTGGAGCTTTGCTGTCACACAGATCGTAGTTTGTTACAGTTCGTGGATGACCTTGAAGCAGAGAAAGTGAAGCATAGATTGCAAGAAGAGTTTTGTGAAATTGGATTCAACAGGCGGATAGATGTAACCATTATGAATGCCGAAGAGGTTTACAAGAAAGTGCAGGAAATAAGGTAATGATCTGAGTCACTTTGATCCAGTAACCCGGACCATAGCTGGACTTATAGTGTGAAAATTTTTAATCCAATATATAATAACTTCACTGAAAAAAAAGGAGCTTTGTGACACGCAGTGTAATATTTTAATCTTACCCATGCCTATAATAAAACAGTATAGGAGCTGATAACTAAAATTGGTTGAACCAATCAAAACAACAGAATAACTGAAAGTGTTATCAGATCTCCAGAATCTATTGGAAATGCCAAATGATGAATGAAAAGAAATGATCAGAGTGACATGTAATCTCTTTAGTAAGAACTGTTGAGGGAAAAAAATTCTCTTTTTGAATTTTGAAGTGGAAAATAAAAATCCGTTACTTTCAGTGTCAAGCTATAATTGCACTGTCTTTAATTGGAACTGTGGTAGGGAAAGAAATCGAACTTACAAACAAACAAAGAGTTTATTAACCCTCCCCGAGGGGGATCTTCCAGATTAATTTACATCAAGATATAAAGAATGATACAGTAGAAATTTAAAAGTTACAATATTGATTTTAACAACAAGAACAATGATATTACTTAAGGACAATAGCGGTTAAAACCAGCTATTTAAAAATTTGGACAATAAATATTTCTTCAAATTAAACTTGAATAAGTTTACACTGGGACTAGACTATATTAGAACGAACAGTGTTCCAGACCCTTGCTCCACGATGTAAAAAGGATTGTTGTGCGAGTGAGGTGCGGCATTTGGGTTGACTTAAGCTGCCTTTGTTCCTAGTATTATAGCTATGCACCTTAGAAGGAGTATGATATGGCCTCTCTATAATAGAGTTATAATATTGTTTTTAAGACAGGACTCACTTATGGCTAGTGCTACAGCCAGTGCTACACCGAAAACGGACGAGGACATCATTAAAGATCTGCTGAACGAGATCATGGAAAAGGTAGACGCCCTGACCGATAAAGGTAGGATTTGAAGTGTGTGGCTAATAAAGGTAGTTGGTTTTAAACCTGGTGATTCGAAAGTTTAATTTATACTTCCGGTTTCAAACGCGTCACTTTTTATGGTAAAATGACCTAGCGTAGATGATAAGTAACAAGTTAGGCAGTACCTAAAGTATAAGTAAACCGTATACTGTAGGTATACTCTCCGTATACTGTGGGTATAATTCAGTCAATCCTTACGGAACTTCTAAATTTCTTTTTCATGGCTAACGATACCAACAGCCAGGAACCCATTACCAGGCGCCTCCATACCAATTGTACCCTTTAGTTAACCCTGTCCTGTATCTTTTTATTTTTAGAACTGAGATATGTGGGGGGGGGGGGTGTCTTTAATTTCCCGCGAAAACACGCTGACTTTGCATAATTAAAATACTTTCGTGCGGCCTGCATGTGACGTAAACAATAGAGGACCACAGCTCTCTTATGATTGGCTGTTATTCAAACACCCGCGAAAAAACCCCGTGGGAGGTGCTTCTGGAAATAAAAAGATACGGGACAGGGAGGACTCACAGGGTAATTATGGAAAATGAAAGCTCCGGGTAATGGGCTCCTGCAACAGCGTAAACAGAACTCGGGCAGAGCTACCACTTGCAAAAAGAGCTTCCACGAGAACGTACTACTTTACTTCTATTTCCATGAGTGTGAGGCCTCTAAAATGTCTAAAATGCGGTCAAACAGCTTATGATCAGCCGGGTAAAGTTGTTCTGAGTAACACTGATCATTCGCGATCATTGGTTATAGGAAAAGGTTTGATAGAAGGGGAACAGGTCGCCGAAGCTACCTTCACAGGAATAACGCAAGATTCAGGAAACCAACAGTTCTATAACGAGCAAGACCAAGTGACCAGCACTGTTAGCCCTGAAACTAAAGAAGAGGAGGTAGAAGTCGTGCATAGTAAAGATGGACAACATGACGTTGAAATCAAGGTGAAGCCCCATCAGTACGAAGTAGTCAGATCGTATGGGTCAGGAGAATTAAACGGACCATACTGTATCGCAAAGAATGATATAACTGGAGACATTGCAGTGGCAGATTATTTTAACAAAAGAGTCCTGGTCTTAGATAAGGACATGAAACACGTGAAGACGATAGGAGACGAGGCAGACTCACAACTTAGTGCCAGCATAGGTTCTCCTGTTTCAGTGGCATTCCCAAAGAACAACAAACATGGAACAAAGAACAACGACATCATGGTTACTCATGAGCAGTTCAGATCACATAATAAGAAGCTTTCAGTTCTAACTGATCGTGGCCTCTTCGTCGAACATTTTTCTGAACATCTGATTATACCACATCATGTTTTTGTCAAAACTGATGATGGCCATGTGATCGTTTGCGATGAAGGTGACAAAAAGGTGAAAGTCATCTCCCCAGACGGGAAAGAATTGCTGCTGGCCTTCTCTGCACCGGATAGCGAAGTTTCCCCAAGCTTTCCATGTTACTATCGTGGCAGGTTCTTTGTTTCCTATATGAGAGCACATTGTGTGAAGGTTTATGATAAGGAAGGAGTGTTTCTTTATAACATTGGCAGCGAGGGTTGTGGTGAAGGACAGTTGAGATATCCCGAGGGACTTTGTGTAGACTCCTTTGGTAACCTGATCGTGTGCGACATCAGTAGCAGTCATGAAAATCTGCACGATGGCGTCCTGAAAATGTTCACCTTGGACGGAACATTTCTCACCTCATTTGGCGAGGATAAGATCAAAGTTCCTTGGAGCGTGTGTGCCTGTAATAATGGCGATCTACTCGTTGCCGATCTTCTCGAGGACAGTGTTCATATTTTAAAATAACCTGTTTCCTTCATTGCAAAGTGAAACACAAATGGAACAATTCTTCAGTTGGTAGCGTGAACGCTCCGACAAGCCTTCCTTTTTCCCTCTAAAAAAACCGCTTGTGTCGTTATCCGTTAATGTTTCGGAGTAAAATGAACTTTTTTTAAACATCATAAGTTGTCTTAAAAAGAAAACTAATATATGTTATTCACCAGCCGCGCTAAGAACCAAGCAGATTGCAGAATTTGTTACCGTCCCCTTTGAGAAAAAAAATAATAGAGGTTGTTTTTCACAACTTCGTGGCATTTAGAACAAAACTTGTCTCCGATTTTGGTAGTCATTCAGAAATTTTTAATTCCCCTCCAACACCCCTATAAGCCCCCCTGTCCAACCCTTTTTCGTAAATCTTCCCCATCCTTTTTTACTGTAGTGTTTACTTACTTTAGACTTAAAAGCAATTTAAGCTACAATCACAAGTTTCAGTCGAAAACAGTCGGTTTGGTACATTAAATGTGGTTCGGCCTTCGGACGCGATGTTCAGTATATTATTGTTGCCTCAGTAACGTGTCAAGTGAACGTGAATCTGAGCAGGATTGGTTACTGGTTTGTTTTGATCTCGGTTATCAAATCTGATAACTATCCCGGACTGATAAGTACAAGTCTACCCCAACCTGTTAGAAATTCTCCTTTGCAGATTCCATACTTCACCTGGTCAATGTATTAAGGGAATGTTTGACCAGCAATGCAACCATGAAGTTATTTGCGCAAAAAAAAAATGATCATAGACTTTTATAATAATAAACCGTGTACTGAGAGCGCAACTTCTTTTAACGCTGGCGCTCCAATATGGCATCCTCACCCCCTCTCTCTAGGGGACCGGGGGCATCAGAGACTTGCAATGGTCGAAAACTCATTCATAGTTAAAATGCGAGTCCTCATATTTTTATGGTTTGTCGCGCACCTTTCGTAAATATTGCTTATGGTGTATTTATTTCCTCCTAAAGTAATTAAAACGGAAACTAATATGGATATAGAAGCAAAGGGCAAAATAAAAATTTTATTTGTTGAGTCTCACATGGCGACTTATTGGGGAGTGGAGAGACAGAAGTGGGCTCATTTCAGAGTTTACAGTGCAGATGCCTCCGAGGACACGAGAGAATACCAAGATTTTTCGAAAAGAACTTGTGATATCTTGTCTAATAGCTCTCCCTTTCAAAGCGCGCATGAAAGTACCGGCTACGAAGGCCAGGAAAACTGGTTTGCAAATTGGATCGAGTCAAGAAGTTTACAAAAACTTGTGACGCTAGGTTTTTTGCACTAACTGGACTTTTGCGGGGAACGCAACAATAACGGCGGAAAATAGCTCAGTAGAGACCACTTGCGGTGGGAATGGAAACTCGTCTCGTCAAGTAATATGTGACTAACATAGACTACAGACTGTACGATTTTATGTCTCAATCTGCGTCGGTGTACATACTAGAAGATTTTCAGCCGTTAAAACAAAACACAACACACATGTTTTATGTTTCCTATATGAGAGCACATTGTGTGAAGGTCTTTGATAAGGAAGGAGTGTTCATAAGCAATATTGGCCGCAAAGGTTGTGGTGAAGGACAGTTGAGATATCCCGAGGCACTTTGTGTAGATTCCTTTGGTAACCTGATCGTGTGTGACGCTAGTAGCATTGATGAAAATCTCCGCGACGGCGTCCTGAAAATGTTTACCTTGGATGGAACATTTCTCACTTCATTTGGCGAGAACACGATCAAAGTTCCTTGGATCGTGTCTGGCTGTAATAATGGCGATCTGCTCGTTGCTGATCTTGTCGGGGATAACGTTCATATTTTACGATAACCTGTTTGCTCCAGTACAAAATGAAACACAATGGAACACAATGGAACAACTCTAAGATCTTCAGTTAATCCTAAAAACGCTCCATCTTTAAAGGCTTCTCCGCTTTAATTAGCCTATAGTGTTTTACTTTCGCTTTTATACCACACACAATGTCCCCAGCTGAACCATCATTTACTTAGCCTAACTGGCAGTGTCACGCAAGGCTTGTTCGATTGGTAAGTTGACCAGCCTAACTGGCAGGATTGATTTGTAAACTTGCTTGTATTGGAGACTTCCTAGCCTTACTGGCAGTTCCATGTAAAGTTTGTTTCATTTGTAAGTTTTCTAACCTAAGTGTTATGATCGATTCGCACACGTTGGTATATGGTAGATTGTGCGAAAAAAGTAGCAGACCTCTCAGCCTAAATGGCAGTCTGGAAAAAAGATAGTGGAGATTACGGAAAGTTTGTGTCTTTCTGTTCTTTCTAGGTCCTCCCAAATAAACTTATTTGTTGTTTATTTTCTGTGAAGTGGAGTTATTTATTTCAAAATTTTCATACGCAGTTTCACTGAATGACAGCATCACATGCTTTGCGATTAGCAATCAAAGTCACTCTTCTCGGTTTTCCAATGTTTTTGATTGAAGAGTTTTACAGCAAAATCATAAACTAAGAGGGATCTTGCTAAAAAAGCGAAAACTACGGTTCCACTTTCTTTTTCCCCGAATATTTTCTGCACCTATTTTAATTTACAACATTTTCAACCACTTTCTTTCCCAGAACTTCCCCCACTGACATCAGAGGACACTAGATCCCAGATCTCCTTTTTTACACAGCCGTAGAATCGTAGATGGTTATTTTCACCCAACTACGTAATCGTTTTGAAATTGAAAGGAATAAAAAAATGGGGTAAGGGGCACTTTAACGTTCTGCGAGAGTTTGTAATCTCTTGCGTTCTGTTAGTTAGAATTCTACCACAGGAACTGAATAATTTCATTTTACCAAGGAGAAAATCTATTTTTATAGGCCTAAAAGCTCCAGTATTCCAATGGTGCTTTCAAGACTAACATTTTGAAACGACGCGAATTTCACATTTTTTAACTAGCACCGATTGTTAGACTTAGACAAGAGAGACAGAGAGGGCCGAGATAAGGCTGGTGTTTCCTCCCAAGTTACCTCTGGGAAACACGAGCGAGTGATGAAAACTTACTTTAATTACACTTATAGTTCTTTTCTTCCTCAATGAACGTCGTTGAAGTGCGTAGGTCCTGGGCATGACAATTGGAACGCGACATAAATAAATTAAACTGTTCGTTGTCACGCGAGGCCCAGAATATATGTCGACCGAACTAAACTTGATTTTCCCGCCGTGGATGGCTACGTTCTATTCCTTCTTCACCGTAAAAGATTAAAGGTTTGTTTCCCTATTACTTTTTTCTTGTAAAATATCTCTTAAAGGACGGAAAATTGCCTTAAACATGATTTGTGGACTAAGTCTTTCTTGACTAGAGAGCTAGTAAACATTGGCAATCGAAAATTCTTAGCGATGTTTTGAAAGAGTCTAATTTATCTGGAGATTCAGAGACAGCATTTTACCACAGCACAGTGTTCTTTATGTCGGATGATTTAATAAACAGAGAGCCAACTGCTAGTATAATATACAAATGGTTATCGTGCCAAATATTCAGCGATGTTTTGAAAATTACAGTCATTTATCTGGAGACGTTTAGAGACACTGGCATTTTACCACAGCAAATCTTTCACTTTAGATGTTGTGCTTTGCTTTCCACAAATACATGTCAGACGTGTCATCACTTTAGAATAAAAGGAGTTGCTTCGGTGGGGAATTTTATACTACAATTTGGTTTCAGTTTCTGAATTGATGATGTGAACTGGTGCGTTTTAGAGATTCTAGAGTTGAGTTAGTGAGGCTAACGTTCGAATCCTTAGCTTGGATTCTCTTTACAGAGGCCAACTCACACCGAGTCAGCCGAGTCAACCGGGTCAGTTAATAAAACTAAATTATTTTGTTTTCGCTTGTAATCGACAGCCGAATTTATCGGTTTTCTATTTTTCGGGCCTAATAAATAACTCACCCGCGAGATCGTTCGTAAGAGGAGTTCGTGAACGATGATTTAGGCGGGTGATATAGAGGTTTTGTGAGTTCTTCTCCCGCATTCTAAGTGGTTTATTACACTGATAATGTTCAGTTAAATGTATAAACATAAAAATGTATCTCTGAATGCCTTAAGTGGTAAAATGCTAACGAGGCACCCAGGGCCGAGTTGGCTATGACCAATCTGGCATCCAACAAACGCGTACGGGATAATCCTTTGTTTAATTTCGCCGTGATTCGATATTTCTGGGAAAGCCTGTAAAGTTGATTCGTGTCAAATCTAAGTTATTATTTATCAGGACGACTACTGGAAGTCGATGCTGGTTCTAACCGCCAAAACTGCTAAATATAGGCACATGACATGAAAATCACTTTCGACAGGAGTTCAATTGAAAGTCTAAGGCGAGGGATGTTTATACAGTGCACTTGTACTTTGAAATCCATGAACGTGGTATGAAGTAAAATATTTCCGAGATAAACGTTCAATTATGTTTATGAATCAGCGTTTAGTCGTGCACGAAATGTGAAACCAAGAGAAGAAAGCGATCGAAGACGACTATCGTTTAAATATGCTTAACCTTCTTTCTCGCTACGAGTACAGTTTATGAGTTGAAAACCTATGGAGACTAAGTATCCAATTCGAATTTCAAATTTTAGAAGCGTTAAGTACGCTCACCATGGCTTCACTTTATGGCAGGGAACGAGCTAAACCAGACAAACCAGTATTACGGCTATTAATGGTTATTGGTCCTTACCCAGCGTAGAAATTTAGTGCAAGACTTCTAGCTCCGCTGTTGGAAAAAAAATTGACTCATTTTTCAACCCTCTTATTCCAGGATTTGCAAATCATCCTAAAATTTTAATGGAAACCGGTTTTTATTAATTTTGTTGGTGTTGTTTATACTCTTGTAACTCTACAGACCGTAAAATAGAAATGTCAGGTGCAGTTTTGATTCCAATACATAATAACTTCAAAGAAAGAAAAGGAGCTTTGTGACACCCATGTATTATTTTTAATCTTACCCCTATATAGCTATGATAAAAAGGTACAAGAGCTGATAACTGAGATTAGCTGAAGCAATTAAAACAACAGAATAACTCAGTAAAAGATGGTGTCATCAGATCTCCTGAATTTATTGGAAGTTTCAAATGAGGAATGAAAAGAAATGATGAGGGTAACATTTAGCCTCTTTAGCAAGAACTTTTGAGGGATAAAAGTTCCTCTTTTTGAATTTTAAAGTAGTAAATGAAAGTCCCCTGCTTTCAGTGTCAAACTACTATTGGACTGTCTTTCATTGAAACTGTGATATAGAAAGAAAACGGACTTCCCCATTATAGAGTAATAAATATTTTTTTTAAGACAGGAGTCATTCATGGCCAGTGCCCCACCATCTGCTTCATCCACAAAGGAGACAACAAACTATGCCAGATTGTGCCGTCTGCTGGTTGATATTGGAACCCAGGCTCTTCGAGATACGTTTGATGCCATCCATGCACCGGGAAATCTACACTCAGTTTTGGCGGCAGAGAAGCCCACCTTACAATATCTTAGAAAGAAGAGGATTATCAATCAAATACAGTGGGGGAAGCTTTTCCCTGCCATCCCTAACTTAGTGTCTTCACGTGACTTTGACACAACTTTGCTAATGGTTCTGTTACGGAACCTGTGCGGCTTAACTGCTCCGCTGACCGGCTGGGACGCATTGCCCGCCGTAACAGACCTCAGCAGGGAAGCGGACATTGCCCGAGTTAAGTATTTTAGGAATACTGTGTACGGTCACGCTGAGAATGCTTCTGTTGATGACGTAAAGTTCAATGACCACTGGCGTGACATCCGGGACACTCTGATTAGATTAGGAGGCGTTACTTATAAAGCTGCCATTGACGATCTTAGAGACGAGTGCATGGACCCTGAAATTGAAGATTGCTACATAGAACTACTCAGAGAGTGGAAAAAGGACGACGACAACATTAAAGATCAGCTGAACGAGATCATGAAAAAGCTAGACGCCCTGGCTAATAACGGTAAGATTTGAAGTGTGAGGCGAATGAAGATAGTTGGTTTTAAGCCTGGTGATTCGAAAGTTTGACTTATACTTCCGGGTTTAAACGTGTCCCTTTTTATGGTAAAACGATCTAGCGATAGATGATAAGTAACTAGTCAGGCAGTACCTAAAGTAATATATAGAATTCAGCAAGCCTAAAGGCGGAGCTCGCATTTTTTTTTCCTGCACGTCTCTTCAACAAAACTAAAGCCCCTACTATGGATAAAGTGCATGGTAATGTTGACGGATTTTCATTCGCAACTTCTTCGTGTTCGTGTAGAGGACTGATTATAAGATTGTGCCCGTACAGTTGGCCGCGCATGCTAAAAGTAGCACCTTGTACGGTCGATCGTACGGTCGTACATCCAAATTTTTTCGGCTTGATGGGTTACTACCATTTTGCATAATTATGAAGATACGCGAGCTCCGCTATAAGAAAACCGTATACTGTAGGTATACTCTCACTAGCGAACGCTCATTTTCATCATACTTCAGTCAATCGTCACGGAACTTCTAAACTTCTTTTTCAAGGTCAACCATACCAACAGCGTAAACAGAACTCGGGCAGAGTTACCACTTGCAAAGAGAGCTTCCACGAGAACGAGCCACGTGACTCCTATTACCATGAAGGTGAAGTCTGTATTCGTCTCAAATGTGGGCAAACAGCTCATGATCCGCTGGGTAGAGTGGTACTGAGTGACACTGGTCATTCGCGGTCATTGGCTAGAGGGAAGGGTTTGCTAAAAGTGGAACAGGGCGCCGAAGCTAAATTCACAGTAATAACGCGAGATCCAGGTGGACAACAGTTCTATAACGAGCAAGAACAAGTGACCGTCACTGGCAGCGTTGGTCAACATGAAATTGAAATCAAGGTGAATATATGGCCGCTGACCGGTAGTCCTGGGAAAGTCGAGGTGAAGCCCCATCAGTACAAAGTAGAGAAGTCTTTTGGGTCGAGAGAATTAAACAAACCATATTGTATCGCAAAGAATGAAATAACTGGAGACATTGCAGTGGCAGATTATGTTAACAAAAGAGTCCTGGTCTTAGATAAGGACATGAAACATGTGAAGACGATAGGAGGCGAAGCAGACTCACAACATAGTGTCAACATAGGTTTTCCTGTCTCAGTGGCATTCTCAAAGAGAAATGACATCATGGTTACTCATGAGCAGTTCAGTCCATGTAATAAGAAGCTTTCAGTTATAACTGATCGTGGATTCATCATGGAGCAGTTCACTAAACATCTGATTAAAGCACATCATGTTTTTTTCAAAACTGATGATGGCCATATGATCGTTTGTGATGAAGGTGACAAAAAGGTGAAAGTCATCTCCTTAGACGGGAAAGAACTGCTGCTGGCCTTCTCTGCCCCGGATAGCAAAGTTTCCCCAAGCTTTCCATGTTACTATCGTGGCATGTTCTTTGTATCCTATATGAGAGCACATTGTGTGAAGGTTTATGATAAGGAAGGAGTGTTTCTTTATAACATTGGCAGCGAGGGTTGTGGTGAAGGACAGTTGAGATATCCCGAGGGACTTTGTGTAGACTCCTTTGGTAACCTGATCGTGTGCGACGCCAGTGGCATTGATGAAAATCTCCACGATGGCGTCCTGAAAATGTTCACCTTGGACGGAACATTTCTCACCTCATTTGGCGAGGATAAGATCAAAGTTCCTTGGATAGTGTGTGCCTGTAATAATGGCGATCTACTCGTTGCCGATCTTCTCGGGGACAGTGTTCATATTTTAAAATAACCTGTTTCCTTCATTGCAGAGTGAAACACAAATGGAATAATTCTTCAGTTGGTAGCGTGAACGCTCCGAAAAGCCTACCTTTTTCCCTCTAAAAAAACCGCTTGTGTCGTTATCCATTACTGTTTAGGAGTAAAATGAATTTTTTTTAACATCATAAGTTGTCTATTAAAAAGAAAAGTAATATATGTTATTCGCCGGCCGCGCTAAGAACCAAGCAGATTGCAGAATTCGTTACCGAGCCCTCTAAGAAAAAAATTAACATAAATTGTTTTTCACAACTTGGTGGCATTTAGAACAAAACTTGTCTCGAATTTTGGTAGTCATTCAGAAATTTTTAATTCCCCTCCTACACCTCTATAAGCCCTCCTGTCCAACCTTTCTTCGTGAATCTTCTCCATCCTTTTTTACCCTATACTGTGGTGTTTACTTACTTTAGACTTAAAAGCAATTTGAGCTACAATCACAAGTTCCAGTCGAAAACAATCGGTTTGGTACATTCAATGTGGTTCGGCCTTCGATTTCGGACGCGATATTGAATATATTATTGTTGCCTCAGTAACGTGTCAAGTGAACGTGAATCTGAGCAGGATTGGTTACTGGTTTGTTTTGATCTCGGTTATCAAATCTGATAACTATCCCGGACTGATAAGTACAAGTCTACCCCAACCTGTTAGAAATTCTCCTTTCCCGATGCCATACTTCACCTGGTCAATGTATTAAGGGAATGTTTGACCAGCAATGTAACCATGAAGTTATTTGCGCAAAAAAAAAAAATGATTATAGACTTTTATAATAATAAACCGTGTCCTGAGAGCGCAACTTCTTTTAACGCTTATATTTTTTTTATTGCTTATGGTGTATTTATTTCCTCTTAAAGTAATTAGAACGGAAACTAATATGGATATAGAAGCAAAGAGCAAAATAAAAATTTTTTATTTTTTGAGTCTCACATGGCGACTTATTTGGGAGTGGAGAGACAGAAGTGGGCTCGTTTGAGAGTTTACAGTGCAGAGGCCTGCGAGGACACGAGAGAAAACTAAGATTTTTCGAAAAGAACTTGTGATATCTTGTCTTATAGTTCTCCGTTTCAAAGCGCACATCAAAGTGCCGGCTACGAAGGCCAGGAAAACTAGTTTGCAAATTGGATTGAGTCGTGAAGTTTACAAAACTTTGTGAGGCTAGGTTTATGCACTAACTGCACTTTTGCGGGGAACGCAACAATAACGGCGGAAAATAGCTGAGTAGAGACCACTTGGAGTGGGAACGGAAACTCGTTACGGTTCGTGGTACACGGAGACCTGCTTCAAGCGAGTTTGCCTCAGACGTTAAGCATTTGGTTCCACAGTAACTTTATTTCAGTTCATGTCGACAAGCCAAAGCGTATTTGAATAGTATAACAAAAAAAGCGGAAAATGTTTCTCTGTAGTTAAGCGATTCTAGTTAAATATTCCATCTGTTCGGGAAGAATTTCAAAACTAAGGAACGGATACAATAGGCTCTACGTCATTAAAAAGAGCAAACTTAAGTCAAATTTCACAGCTTTGATATTAGAAAAACACTTATCCTAATTGCGGAAGAGCAGCTAAGGAAATAAAAGTGAGAAGTAGTGATAATTTCTGCTTATCTATATGCGATATTGATGTTAAGTTCAGAAAAGCGGCAACGTGAGAAATTAACCTATGAAAGGAAACCGAACTTACGAGCGCACACTCAGCTGCCAACTTCAATGAGGACCAATTTTCCAGAAAGATCATCAACACTTATATTTGTATTACCAAAGAGAGCATTGACACTTCTACTTACATGCAATTTCAACAGTAATGGTCATCAAAGTACCGACGTACAGAGATGATGAAAGACAAAGTAACAAGCAAAATGTAATAGTTAGTAATTCAAAAACTACTGTGGCTTTTCTATATTTTTGCAATTTGCGAAAATGGTTAACTTGAAAAGTTTATGCGTAGATATGATCCAAATAAACACACGGAAAAATCACTAAATTTCCCCGTAACAAATTGCAGCATATCGTTTGAGAAATCTTCAGTGCTGATCAAACACTTTAAAGTTGCGACAGTAACCAAGTATCTTAGTCTACTATTACAAGCTATTTTGTACATACAAATTGTACTGTGTGGTGGAAACCAAAAAGGCAAATCAGTCTTTAATTATTCCCTGTTCTCTAAGTTTCTTTATGACCTCTGACACAGCATCTTTAACAGCATCTTCACTTTGCTTATAGTGCTTAACTTTAGCTTTTATTCCACTTTCAATGTCCCAGGCTGTACCATCGTAAACCCACGGTTCATCCAGGGAGTGAACTCGACCTTTTGCCCTGTAGCTTATTGTACGATCCTTGTAATTCACCTGCAAAATGTAAGAACAGACACACCCTTTAAAACTTTTTTTCAAAAAAGACACTTCAGCACATTGTGTTACATATCAGCAGCATTATCACTTTTATCACTCCAATTAATAAAGGTAACTGTCTACCTGCTGAGAGTAAATTTGTTCTCGTTAATTTTTTTACATTATTTGAAGAAATAATAGGCATAAATGAATTTTAAAAGTTAATTTTCTGAGATTTGATGCCAAGTAATTATAAAACGGACTCCTGTTTAAACAAACCTCCTAGGTTTGAGATGAACAGTGCAGGTTGAATTACAATGATACAAAATTCAAATCCTGTCTAAATTAACCCTTAAACTCTCATAAGTGATTAACATGTAACTTCTCCCTATAACATCCACACATTATCCAGCCAACATGTAACGAGAATACTCAAACTTATCAGGTAGAAGTTGGTAGTCTTGATCTAACACCAAATTCTCCTAATTTATTTACAAGGAAATGTGTAGCAGCTAGATGGGAGAATTAACCTCAGATCTTGGGAGTTAAAGGTTTAAGAAACAAGTCAAGGCTTAAGATGTAACCAATACACTGCTTCAAAAGCTATCACAACTGATCATCCAAAAATTGGAGTGGCATATGTGTACCCTACGTGATCAGAGATGCTAAAAAACATTTTAATAGTAATATATTGGGACAATATGAAACTCCCATCAGTTATTAACATGTAACTTCTCCCTATGACATCCACAAATCAGCCAGCCAACATGTAATGAGAATACTCAAAGTTATCAGTTAGAAGTTAGTAGTCTTGATCTAACACCAAATTCTCCTAATTTATTTACATGGAAATGTGTAGCAGCTAGAGGGAAGAGTTAATGATCAGATCTTGGGAGCTAACCCTTTCACTCCCACAAGTGATCAAGACAGAATTTCTCCTTACAATATCAATACAATATCAAGCAGGCAGGTGATGAGAATAGAGAAGAATGCCAACCATGGGATTATTAGTTGATCCAATACCAAATTCTCTGAACTAGCATCATAAGAATTGTATGGCAGATAGTAAGGAGAATTACTAATTAGATCTTGGGAGTGAAAGGGTTAAAGGTTTAAAAAACAGTCAAGGCTTAAGATGTATCCAATACACCACAATTGATCAGCCGAAAAATTGGACTAGCATACATGCATGTGATCAGAGATTGAAGAAAAAAACATATTAAAGGCATATACATGACACTCATTTGCAAAAGGCACAGTAATATTTTGGGATAATATGCAAGATGAGATCAAGGAGATTACTACATGTAATAAATAGTTACTGATCAGTTGGGTTGAAAAAGATTTGTTGGATACTTTTTACTAATTGGGTCAATTAAAAGTTGCAACTCAACTAATTGCACATTTGGCTCTAAGTTTCTTCAGCATTTGAACAATGCAATCTAACTTTAGTTTACATAAATCTGTTTGATGAAAGCAATATTTTCATACTCGTTACAAACCTGGCCTGATGGTCCTCCAGTGATGGATTGAAGTAAAATAGCCACTGGATCATCACGTTGTGGTCCAGAACCTAAAAGGGACAAACATCACTTTGTAATACCTGTTTAACTATAGAATAAAGGGGGAAAGCTTCTAGACAAACTGTGGTACTGCCCCAGTTGGAGAATATAACTATCAAGTGAGTTGACAACATTAATTGGCCACTGTAGAGAGTTTAAAAGCTGACCCTTCAAGCGTTAGCCCTTCATCAGAGTGATGGGATCGAAGGGCTCTGCCAAAAGGCTAATGCTCAAAACATCAGCTTTTTAACTCCTTACTGTGGCCAGGTTACATTATTAAGTCAGTTGACGATACTAAATTACCTTGTTTAATGATAGGTTTGTTTCCTTAACATTGACTGATTAGAAAGGAGAGGGCTCACATGGATACCCATGACCTTCCTATACAAACTGCCCCAAATGAGCCAAAGGTAGGTGAGAGGGGCTGGTGCTTTCATTAGGAACCAACTCATTTTTATGTGAACTTGAATTGCAAAAGTTTTGGCTGGCTAGGTGTCCTAACTGTAAATCACCCCACTATGTCATTGTTTTGAATTCATTCACTCCAAAACTACTCTGATGGTTAGGACATCAATCATCACCAATAAATCCTTGATTTGCAACGGTTTAGGCTGCCCCCTAACCCCCCCCCCCCCCCAGCTATGAGAATAGACTCACCCATCATCACTTGGTATCATATCCTTTAGGCTTCACTTTACAAAACAATTATAGCATGCCAAATATATCCAAGTAAACTTTACCTTGATGCGTGTCAAACCCCTTTGCACCCACATGCTCTTTTGGAGGCAATGGAGGAAGAGAGAAGTACATGATTCCAATGGCAATAAGCAGTACCACAAACGCCATCAATTGACCAATAGGTGTGCACCATTTTCTTCCTGCACCAGAAAGAGATCACTGATTATACCTAAATTATTAGTGTCTTACCCAAGGTTAAATGATTGATTCATTTAGTATCAGCTGCCACTTACTGAATATGTTCTCTGTTGCATACAAATCATATCAGTTCCTAGTTTGTAACAGCTTGTATATCATTTTGAAATTAAATGGAGAGGTATACTCATTTGTGGAAGGGGCTTCTTTGAGGGGTTAGGGTCAGGGTTAGGGTCAGAGAGCATTTATGTTTTATTGAGCATTTTATGTTTCATGAGCATTTATGTTTTATCAATGTTAGCTTGATGTTTTTGTTATCATTTTCCTTCCTTTTTTTGATCCTAGCTTTATTAGAAAATGATATTGGCAGTGAGACTTTATATTTCTTGTGAATGCAACACATTAAATTGAAATAAACCTTATCTATGATTAATATCCTCTGTGTCACCAATTCCAACTAAAAGTATTTCCCTGCAATTTTTCTACATTCCCTTACCATCAACTCTTTATCAGTACACAGAATGTATGTGACTTGAATGAATAATCAAGCCCAACAGTCTCATGATAAGTTATAATTTTCAAAAGCCAGTGTACTTGCATGTTTCAGATAAATCTCAGTATCAAAGTAACTGTACAGCCTACCACTCCCCAAACCCAACATTAACCCTAACTTGTTATCAGCTGAGTGATGTTAGGTTAGGATAGGGATAGGTATTTATTCGCTCAGAAACTGATATTATTGACTCATCTTTCCCAGTGTAATTTGCAATGTGGTATATAAATTGTTCTGATATGTCACATTGTGTTAATTACCAACTATCAGTGTTTTTCAACCACTAAACCAGTATAACATTATTGATTACCAAGTTCTTTTGCTGTGATTTATTTCAAAACAAGCTCTTATGTGTACCTGACTGTGAATGATTCACCCCCTTGTAGTGCTGCCAATCTTTGAGTATACCAGGATATTTCAAAATGTTTGCCACAACTGATGCTGCCATGACACTTGCAAATGGTTGCCATGCTTCAGTTTTTGACTTGTTGCCATCAGCATAATCTGATACACCTTTCACAACAACCCACTCCATCTTGAGATCAAAAGCAGCAGCAAAAATACCTGAGCCCCAAAACAAGAATTTTTTCATTCAAACAAGGTCAAAATTAATAATGGTGATAGGTAGGACCAGGCAGAGTCAAATTCGGTCTGTAATCATACAAGTGATTAACAAAAGTGGATGACTGCAGAACAGGAGTCCCAGTTGGTAATCACAAATGATATTGTGATTTGTTAATCAAATAAAAAAAAAAAGCAATAGTTAACTTGGTGAAATGTGAGACAACATCACGCTCATATAGTGCATTCTGTTCACTTACACAGGCATGACATGTTAACAGTTCCTTTAACTGTTCTATTACACTGTCCAATTACAAGCATGACCTATCAGTGCTCAGATCAGGTTGGTGATAACCAATCATGTTCAAGAATTTTGTTATAGTTTTGATTACCTGTAAGCCCAGTTATTACTTTCCAAGGAAGCTCAAGTGAAAACCTTTTCTTGTAAAAATGATAGTTATGTTTGTTTCAGATTGAACATGATCATTTTCATGATATATAGATTTAGCCAAGCCTAAAAGCGGAGCTTGCATTTTTTCTTCCCACACGTCTTAAGGGCATAATGCCTTGCCCCGGCCAGGACTAGAACCCAGGTTCTCCAACTCAGAGCCCAGTGCACTGACCACTAGACTACTGGACAAATCCTTGGCATTGGTGTGCCCACGGTACAGTTGACCACACATGTTAAAAGTAGCACCTTGTAAGGTTGGTTGTGCAGTCATACGGTCATACAGTCGTAAGTCCAAATTTTTTTGGCTTGATGGGTTACTACTATTTTGTATAATTATGGGGCTTCGCTCTGCAAGCTCTGCTATTATTTAGAGCTTTGCCTTAACTACCATTTTTACACAGAGGTTGTTTTTTTCCATACCACTGAGCTCAGGTTAAGGCAGTTCAAAAGAGCTTTAAATGCACTGGAGAATAATTAAGACAGTGCTAATCCCTTCACTCCCAAGATCTCACTAGTAATTCTCCATAATGGTAGCCATAGGATAATGAGTGGGAGAATTTGGTATTGGATCAAGAAATAATCCCCTAACTGATATTTTTCTTTATTCTTGAACCTTGTCACCTTAGTATTGTCTTGATATTGTAATGAGAAATTCTGTCTTGGTCACTTATGGGAGTTAAAGGGTTAACTGGTTATTAATTAATGCAAAGAGAAGTAGATTTTCTCTACTTTGCTTACCACTGAACCTTATGCAACCTAAAACCAACTAGAAAACCAACCACACTGAGTCTGGTTTAATTTATCCTGACAGAGAAAACTGCAGAAGCATATGAAAAGCAATTTCAAATTGAGTTTTGGTTTAATCATAGCAATCATTTGTTTGTTAGTTAACACATGAGATTCATTGTCAGCCCCAGATTTCCACTGCAAATTGATAGTTGATAAGATTGGGTAGATGTTGTTCCTCTACCTATAGCATATGGATCCATGAATAAGCATAGTGAGCTTTTGCCAAATTTTGTTCATCTCATTTCTCATTTTTCCTTTTTAATTCCCATTAATACTCATACACATTCAGGTAAAGAAATATATTCCCTACTCACATTAGCACCTCTATCTGGCCACGCATAATCAAAGACAATTTTTTTAACTAATTTTACTCAGCAGACATTTACACTTGATTCTTACCTTCACCCTCCATCTCGATTGCGATCGCTTCAGAATATTTATCAAGGAGTTCCTCCCGTCGCCACCCACAATTCACAAGCTCTGGGCCGCTCAAAATTACAGCATCGCAGTGCACAACCGGCTCCCGATTTACTTCCGGCTTCTTCGTTATTGGAGGCTTCCATCCGCTGGCAGCGTGTCTGATGAGGTCAGCCATATAACTGCTAACAGGAGCCACATAACCACGAGGTTGCTCTCGGTCGTTCATGACTTTTTTATGCGCATATGTGATTATCTTCTTTGAGATCACGACATCTCCTAACTTGACTTTTTCGTAAGAGAGACCGCCACAAAACCCGACGCAAAAAACAGCTTTTGGTTGTAATATTTTGATGGCAGTGCTCACCTTACTTAGGGCTGCACCAGGACCGGTTGCACCTTCAAAGCACCTCAACAAGCAAACATTCAATTTATGTTTAGCATCACCCATGTCTCCAAAGTGCACAATCCCGAGTCCCAGACAGTGACTTTCATGTGGGTTTCTGAGAAAATGGTAACAACTTAAAAACTCCCAATCTTTTACCGTAACAAGCAGAACATCTGTGGGAAGTTTGACACTTTCCCATGGTATAAAGGCTTCGCTGAGCTCGCTTAATTTTGGAAGATTTTTACTGAGTTGTGGTGGTTCACCGTAATCGACATGATCACGAGCAGAAGTCTCGTGGGACAACTCGCCCACTACGTTCTCCTCCGACATATTGAGAATCATCTATCCCAGGAGCACCCGCGCCTCTGGCGCAGTCTTCACAGTACGTAATAACTAGACCCTGTGAGCAGGGTAACTGGGATACCTGGATGGTACTGGATCCTTGGAATCAAGTGTAGTGATACTACGGGTGTCGGATTAGTATACTGAAATAGTGAGCTCAAGTCTGGCTAAGGGCATACACCTATTTCAAAACATAGGCATGCTATGCATGCAAGAGTTATTTTTTGTAGGGTGGGTGGATTACTGGTGGTCTACATTCTTACAAAAGGAAAGAAGAGTATTAACGTGGAAAAGAACGAAAATGTCGAATTACCTCACACACAGGTATTTTGTGGTAGATTATGTGTGTTGTGCGAATAAATGTAACCAAAAATAAACTGTATTGGTGCCACAGATACCTGTTAGTACAAAATGCAGTCAGCAGACCGGATACAAAATATAGACTGGAGACTGCAGAGTGGGTACAAAATGCAGACTGAGAATCTGAAGAGTTTTTACGTCTGGTAAATAATAACATGTCATCTTACAGCTTACCGAGCGTCACGCAATTGCTTTTCCTCGATCAGCCTTCACGATTATTTGCACTATTGTGGAAAATTCCTGGCCCATTTCTTGATGAAAATCGATCGTAATATAATTTCAAGCCTTCAATATACTCTTCTTACTTCATGCGCGAGTTGGTTTGTGTGATGTCTGTACAGATTTTACCAACGTAACTAAAGTAGATGATGTGAATAACAGTGATGGTAAAGCAAGCTTAAAACGGCAGAAATCACCAGAAACTACAACGGATACACAGTTCGCGACTCAATCCGGTCCAAAATTACCGCTCAATAACATCTAGTGTGGATTGGCGGCGAACAATACGACTTGTGTATGCGTCTGTAAGTATTTCGAGCGTTTGCGCTATAATGCTTCAGGTGATGGTAATCAGAACACGTTGAAATACAAAACGACCGACAAAAGAGTTTTCTAAGCAAAAATCTCGTGTTCATCATGTGACCCGGACCTGTCCGTGCAACGTCAATCATCATCAAGATAACACGTGATCAGCATGTGAACACCTTCACCCTCATTGGATCACAGTTAGTTGTTATGGTGTTGAGGGCGCAATGACCACTGGGTACTATTGCGCAATTTTTCCATTTTGTGGCGGAGGAAAAAAAAAAAAAAACTAGACCCTGTGAGCAGGATAACTGGGATACCTGGAAGGTACTGGATCCGTGGAATCAAGTGTAGTGATACTACGCGTGTCGGACTAGTATACTGAAATAGTGAGCTCAAGTCTGGCCAAGGGCATACACCTGTCTCAAAACATAGGCATGCTATGCATGCAAGAGTTATTTTTTCTAGGGTGGGTGGATTACTTGAAACATTGTAAGTGGTCAACATTCTTACAAAAGGAAAGAAGATTATTAACGCGGGAAAGAATGAAAATGTCGAATTACCTCACACACAGGTATTTTGTGGTAGATTATGTGTGTTGTGCGAATAAATGTAACCAAAAATAAACTGTATTTGTGCCACGGATACCTGTTAGTACAAAATGTAGACAGCAGACTGCAGACCGGATACAAAATATAGACTGCAGAGTGGGTAAAAAATGCAGACTGAGAATCTGAAGAGTTTTCACGTCTGGTATATAATAACATGTCATCTTTTCCGCGATCAGCCTTCACGATTATTTGCACTATTGTGGAAAATTCCTGGCCCATTTCTTGATGAGAATCGATCGTAATATAATTTCAAGCCTTCAACATAGTCTTCTTACTTTGCGCACGAGTTGGTTGATGTGATGTCAATACAGATTTTACCAATGTAATAAAAGTAGATGACGTGAAAAATGGTGATGGTAAAGCAAGCTTAAAACGGCAACAATCGCCAAAACTACAACGGATACACAGGGTATGAGTAAGTTTTATTGATTTTTCGAGAAAAATATCCATATTTCGAAATATTTATCGTTGTAAATCGACCATATTTCGTTCCCTATACTATTCCTTATAACGTGTTCAAATTTTCAACGGTTCCTAGAATAACTTACTCTGAGTCACACAACGCGTGACGCGTTCGTGAATTAATCGTTGGCTCTTTCTCGAAACGTGACCTTGGGTCGCCTGTGCAAGACAATTGCGTAAACAATACTTGACATAATAACATTATACACAAAAAACACGGGATTTTGGATCATGTATTTATTAAAAAAGAATATCCATACAACTACAATGAAAACAAACATAAGATTCACCTTTCTGATCGTGAAATTAATACCATTCGCACTGTTATCGTATTTTTTTTTATCGTGAAATTAATACCATTCGCACTGTTATCGTAGCTACGTTCCCTGGCATCAAGTGAATCCAACATGGCGTCTTTCTTCACTAGCAGTTTGCATCCATTTGAATCTCGTTCTTCAGTCTCACGGTAGTAGTGTTGTTCAGTAGATTGCATAGAGTATATGCAGTTTGGTTTCAGATTTCAGATTTTGCTTTTTACAACGAGTTTACGTTTTCAACTAAGACATTGGCATACTTGGCATACAAGACATACAGGGCATTCAATGCTTTCATGGCTTTCAAGCGTTCACGATTCTGTCCGATCCAAAATTACCGCTCAATAACATCTTTTTGTGTGGATTGGCCGCGAACAATACGACTTGTGTATGCGTCTATAAATATTTTGAGCGTCTGCCCCATAATGCTCCAGATGATCGTAATCTAATTACGTTGAAATACAAAACGACTGACAAGATAGTTTTATGGGCAAAAATCTCGTGTTCGTCATGTGACCCGGCCCTGTCCGTGCATGACAACGTCAATCATCATCAAGAGAGCACGCGTGATCAGCATGTAAACACCTCATTGGATCACAGTTAGTTGTCATGGTGTTGAGGGCCCAATGACCTCTGGGTACTATTGCGCAATTTTTCCATTTTGTGGCGGAGGAAAAAAAAAAAAAAAAAAAACTAGACCCTGTGAGCAGGGTAACTGGGATACCTGGATGGTACTGGATCCGTGGAATCAAGTGTAGTGATACTACGCGTGTCGGACTAGTATACTGAAATAGTGAGCTCAAGTCTGGCCAAGGGCATACACCTGTCTCAAAACATAGCCATGCTATGCATGCAAGAGTTATTTTTTGTAGGGTGGGTGGATTACTTGAAACATTGTAAGTGGTCTACATTCTTACAAAAGAAAAGAAGATTATTAACGCGGGAAAGAATGAAAATGTCGAATTACCTCACACACAGGTATTTTGTGGTAGATTATGTGTGTTGTGCGAATAAATGTAACCAAAAATAAACTGTATTTGTGCCACGGATACCTGTTAGTACAAAATGTAGACAGCAGACTGCAGACCGGATACAAAATATAGACTGCAGAGTGAGTACAAAGTGCAGACTGAGAATCTGAAGAGTTTTTACGTCTGGTATATAATAACATGTCATCTTACAGCTTACCGAGCGTCACGCAATCGCTTTTCCGCGATCAGCCTTCACGATTATTTGCACTATTGTGGAAAATTCCTGGCTCATTTCTTGATGAAAATCGATGGTAATATAACTTCAAGCCTTCAACATAGTCTTCTTACTTTGCGCGCGAGTTGGTTGGTGTGATGTCTGTACAGATTTTACCAATGTAATAAAAGTAGATGACGTGAATAATAGTGATGGTAAAGCAAGCTTAAAACGGCAACAATCGCCAGAAACTACAACGGATACACAGGGTATGAGTAAGTTTTATTGATTTTTCGAGAAAAATCTTCATATTTCGAAATATTTATCGTTATAAATCGACCATATTTCGTTCCCTATACTTTTCCTTATAACGTGTTCAAATTTTCAACGGTTCCTAGAATAACTTACTCTGAGTCACACAACGCGTGACGCGTTCGTGAATTAATCGTTGGCTCTTTCTCGAAACGTGACCTTGGGTCGCCTGTGACAAGACAATTGCGTAAACAATACTTGACATAATAACATTATACACAAAAAACACGGGATTTTGGATCATGTATTTATTAAAAAAGAATATCCATACAACTACAATGAAAACAAACATAAGATTCACCTTTCTGATCGTGAAATTAATACCATTCGCACTGTTATCGTAGCTACGTTCCCTGGCATCAAGTGAATCTAACATGACATGTTTCTTCACTAGCAGTTTGCATCCATTTGAGTTTTTTTCTTCAGTCTCACGGTAGTAGTGTTGTTCAATAGATTGCATAGAGTATATGCAGTTTGGTTTCAGATTTCAGATTTTGCTTTTTACAACGAGTTTACGTTTTCAACTAAGACATTGGCATACTTGGCATACAAGACATACAAGGCATTCAATGCTTTCATGGCTTTCAAGCGTTCGCGATTCTGTCCGATCCAAAATTACCGCTCAATAACATCTTTTTGTGTGGATTGGCCGCGAACAATACGAATTGTGTATGCGTCTATAAGTATTTTGAGCGTTTGCCCCATAATGCTCCAGATGATCGTAATCCAATTACGTTGAAATACAAAACGACTGTCAAAATAGTTTTATGGGCAAAAATCTCGTGTTCGTCATGTGACCCGGCCATGTCCGGGCATGACAACGTCAATCATCATCAAGATAGCACGCGTGATCAGTATGTGAACACCTCATTGGATCACAGTTAGTTGTCATGGTGTTGAGGGCCCAATGACCTCTGGGTACTATTGCGCAATTTTTCCATTTTGTGGCGGAGGAAAAAAACAAAAAAAAAAAAACTAGACCCTGTGAGCAGGGTAACTGGGATACCTGGATGGTACTGGATCCTTGGAATCAAGTGTAGTGATACTACGGGTGTCGGATTAGTATACTGAAATAGTGAGCTCAAGTCTGGCCAAGGGCATACACCTGTTTCAAAACATAGGCATGCTATGCATGCAAGAGTTATTTTTTGTAGGGTGGGTGGATTACTTGAAACATTGTAAGTGGTCTACATTCTTACAAAAGGAAAGAAGATTATTAACGCGGAAAAGAACTAAAATGTCGAATTATCTCA